TTAATATAATTTTATATGAGTCAAAGTCCAATCAAGCCGAATGATCTCGAAGAGTTACCGCTTTCTTATCTACACAAAGAAATTTTGTCACCCGCAATATTGAGCTTAAATATTTCATGATTGACCTTAATCAAGTTTATAATCGAGACAAGTCACGCAATTCGACCAATGGAATTGTATTCGAAGTCAATATAAAAGTATACACATCACAATGACCATGTATGTAGCACATTCATTATACAGTTTCGTTTCTAAGAAGCAAAACATTATATTTTCTTATATAAGTATTATTTTCACAAAATGTGAAATCTTATTACATTAATTTATCATATAAATTAAACTATTTTGTAGCAAAAAAATGATATAGTTCTTCCAGACAGTGATAAGGTATCAAAAAAATAAACAATAAATATATAGTTCGAGATATTTATTGAAAAAAAGAATCAATTGTGTGGATACGAGGAGAATAGTACACAAGGAAAATAGTATAGTAAATTAGCGGAGTATTTTATATGATAATATGCAACAGGTAGAAAACTGACTTTTAATTTTGCTTAACAATTTTCTAATTGCATAACGTAATTGTGAAGGAAATTGTCTATAACTACGAGGATAAATACATTTACAAGGAAACTTTATGAAATTTCTATTCGATTTTGATTAACTATAAATAACGGACACATACAAATATTTTGTTTTATGTGTCTTAGCGATGTAACTAGTTTCTTAAAGTTTCAGTTATAATTATTAGTAATGTCGTTTTAGTGGTATATGATAAATGATTATTTTTAAAAGACTTTATAGAAAGAACGTAACAATTAATTTTTTTTATACGTATACTTTTGTTTAATCTTATTATTTTATATAATAATACACGATAAAATAATAAAATTAAACGAAATGTGTAAAGTTAGTCTACACTTCGTCTCTATAAAATTTTTTTTAAATTAATAAAAGTTATCGTGATAATAATTCACGTTTAAAAATTGACTTATATTGATTTTTTTTTTGATAGTTAATCCGGAAAACATCGTTTTGAATAATTCCTTCGATAATGAATGTGAAATGAAAGAAACAAGATTATATTTTTCATATGATAATTAATTGTTAGAGAGAGACTTTACAATTTTGCTTATCTATTAATGTCACTATTAATTCACCTTTAAATTTCCAAAGTGAGGAGGTCAAACAAGTTCTCAATTTTTTTTACATATAAAGATAAAGAGAGAGTGGACAACAATAGAAAGTCCTATAACTCCGTAGAAAATTATTCCTAAGCATTATCGAAGGAAAGACTGTTCTGTCAGCTTAAAATTAGTAGCGCTAAATGATAAAATATATCAAGGCTTCGATGAATATTTAGATAAAGATCTTGAAACACCGTAAATGTCACATATCGACATTCTACTTTGATTATGACGTTCTTAAGGAGGATAAATCGCGAAACGATAGGAAGTTAAATTGATACTGATGTCCCACAAAGGATATGTCATTGATATGAACCCACTGCTCGTTTTGAGGTTAACTCACAAGTTAAATATACTGACTCTTTTCCCTCAATTTCTGCGAAACACCACGTAGCCAGCGATCAGCTGATTTCAAGAGCAGCGGAGCTCACGTAAGCGATCGGGTAAATTGAAGGACAACCGATCGGGGACTCACCTTCGTGCCGTTCCTGCGTCCAATGTATACCTCGTGAAGCGTGAACGTTCTCTTGCGAGGCATTTTCATCCTCGTGAGACACGGCACACGAGATAATTATTCGGTGCCGCGGTATTGGCTTTTGTTCACTAACGTCGACGTCGACGAGCGAAAAAGATGCGTTGCACGCGATAAAATCGAATGCGGCACGCCGCACTAGACGCACGACCACCGGCGCGATGTAATCGCTTGTTACGTCGGTCTCTTTGATGACGCGATGACGCCGTCGTTCACGTGATCCGAATACAAGCGATATTCCGCGATCGATTAAGAGTCACTGCGCCGACGCGCAGTGCTGTAACACTGGGTGAGTGTGTTGGATGCGTGATTCATCAGAGAGATGATATCATTGATGAATTTAAAAATCGATTTTTTAATAATAAATGATTTTCTTTCTCTTCCTCTCTCTTTCTTTTCATTTTAAGAAATTTTTAAATATTCATGTTTATAGCATTCTCACTTACAAATATATTTTATGAGATATCTTTTTGATAATTTTGAGAAAATAGTTTCGAAACTAAAACATTTGCCTTTAATCACAAATAAATAATGATGTAGCTATATTTTTTCAAAAAAAATGCATCTAAATAAAAAAACATTAAAAATATTTTTTGAGGATACAAATATACACACACATGAAAAATTAATGTCATTATAGATTTTAAAGAGTCTGCCTCAAAAAATAAATTAAAAAAAAAAATTATTTCTCTTTCTCTTAATAAAATATTTAAATATTTTTAAATTGTATGTTAATAATCTAAATATGTTGTTTATTAAGCTGTTTTCATAAACATTGATTAAAATAATTGAGTTTTAGTTTATTTCTATTTGTTTCTATTTATAGTTTTTTAATGGTTTCTATTTCTATAGAAAAAGATACTAAATCATTTAAGTGTATCGAGTAAGACAATAAAAATTAAAATCAGCTCTATCACTAACTTTCTTGATTTGTATCGAATAACTTTAATATTTTCAAGAGTAATCTTACACGTAAAATTTTTTTATTGTGCAGTAATTACGATTATTTGTATTTGCTTTACATATCTATTGTAAATTTAATAAATTACAAGGTAAATAATATAATAGAGGTTTTATTTTTTAAATTTCATGTGTTCTGGATATGTATCATCACTTGTGATTTTAAGTCGAAGTCGATGATATGAATCCAGCGGAAGGTCTTGACCTTACTTTCACTATATCTTCCAAGGTATGATTAGAGTATCAAAGTCTTTGTACAATTAGAACGAGGTCTTTTATAAACTCTGTTCATAATAAGTTACTGCCACACGCGAAATAAAGTGTGCAAGATTTTAAATTACACTATATCGGATTTATATTGGATCTATTTCATTGATTGGGAATTGCAAATAGAAAAATATTAATATAGAAAGTGAACATTATTAAAATATAAGCTTATCATGTATCTCTAACTCGTAATTTTTAAAATGAATACTGGTAAATAAACATATGAAAAATGAAAGTTGTAAATGAAAACTTTTTTTTGCTCTCTTACATGCTATAAATTATTATTATGTACCTCCCTTACGTTGAATCTATTTAAATCGACTTTTCTTACGTCGCATATTGTAAATACAACTTCGGACGAATAACTAATTTTTGGTGACGTAAGAAAATTTATGTAAATGTTGTCGAATTCGTTAATTAATGCTATCATTCAAAACATGAGCCAGGGAAATTCCTCAATTCATTCGAGAAAGAGATTTCCAAGAAATTCTTTATTCTTGTCACACGACAGCAATAGCAAGTAGGTTATATTAGGATGTGTCACATTTATACAACAATGAAAAATGTGTACTTTATTGGCAATTATCAACATATCGCTCGTTAAGGTAAAATAATATAGCATTTTACTAGATTGAAGGTATTGCCTTCGTCATCATGCATATCAAACACCACAACAGGAGATTCTCAAATTCTGAAAACAGATTCATTGGAAGACAACAAAATCATTCTCGATTATAGCAAATCTTCGAATCGAATCAATAGAACGGTAACTGTGCAATATATTATATATATATAGAATGCTGGAGAATATATGAGCCAAATTTTACATGTTCGCTGCCAGGTTTCCAATGCGAATTTTTCCGCGAGAAAATTGTGGAATAATGCTTCCAAGATGACTAGGAATTCCATCCCTGTAAATAGCGTAATCGAAGAAGGTTTAAAAAATTTTTATAATAATACATGCAGAGCATACATTGAGAAGAATTAATGTTTAGTAACGAATATATATAACGGAAATTTGTTAACATTTTTCGTATATTACGCATGGAATTAGAGAGAGAATGTTCGTAATTTTCATGTTTTATGTGGAATTATATCACTGCTATTCGCACTGATTTCAGAAAGTGAGCTCATTAGTATGTTAACGAAACAACTACATCTGGCTGAGTCACAAATGCGAAAGATGCAAATCGTTTTGACAAAAGCCGAGGAGGGATTGCGAACTAAAGATCAAGAAATCGGTCGCTTAAAGCGGAAGGTTCTCTGTACGCTTCTCTTAATCTAGGAATATAATACCATTCAAAAATTTATAGCAAACTCTTAGCAGAAAGCTAATCTTTATTGGATTTAATTACATTCGCGCAAATTTTTTTAATTTGTTAAATTTATTTATAAAATAATATGAATATATTGCTTTATTCACGTATTATTTACTCTTTTTCAATGCTGGAGAATATATGAGCCAAATTTTACATGTTCGCTGCCAGGTTTCCAATGCGAATTTTTCCGCGAGAAAATTGTGGAATAATGCTTCCAAGATGACTAGGAATTCCATCCCTGTAAATAGCGTAATCGAAGAAGGTTTAAAAAATTTTTATAATAATACATGCAGAGCATACATTGAGAAGAATTAATGTTTAGTAACGAATATATATAACGGAAATTTGTTAACATTTTTCGTATATTACGCATGGAATTAGAGAGAGAATGTTCGTAATTTTCATGTTTTATGTGGAATTATATCACTGCTATTCGCACTGATTTCAGAAAGTGAGCTCATTAGTATGTTAACGAAACAACTACATCTGGCTGAGTCACAAATGCGAAAGATGCAAATTGTTTTGACAAAAGCCGAGGAGGGATTGCGAACTAAAGATCAAGAAATCGGTCGCTTAAAGCGGAAGGTTCTCTGTACGCTTCTCTTAATCTAGGAATATAATACCATTCAAAAATTTATAGCAAACTCTTAGCAGAAAGCTAATCTTTATTGGATTTAATTACATTCGCGCAAATTTTTTTAATTTGTTAAATTTATTTATAAAATAATATGAATATATTGCTTTATTCACGTATTATTTACTCTTTTTCTTTCTCTCTCTCTCTTTCTTTAATTATTTTATAATTATATAAAATTATTTTATAATTTTTCTTATTTTGAAAAATATATTCTATAATTTAATCTTATATTTTTTAATTAAATCTCTTCCGCTTCTTTGGATGATATATGATATTATTTTGGCATAGATCAAAGAATGGGAAGCAAAGTACAAAAATCAGGAGCTCTTGCGGAAAAAAGAGCAACGGACTCAGGCTAACAATTCCGAATATTTCTATCAACGATGTCTGACATTAGAACACAAGATCGCCGAAATGGAGGTTTAAATTTTTTAGATATGTTCGTCTTTGGTAGCAATAATTAGCAATTCTAATTTCAATATTGCAGAAATTTTTGGCTGATTATGGAATGACGTGGGTGGGTGATACGAAAAACGCGATGAACATAGACGGCGATAGCAAGTAACTAGAATATACATTACTAATTTGAAGTGGAAGTAATCGATTTAATAATTAGTAATTCTGTTATAGTAATTATCTCGATGCCTGTTATGATCAGTTAGTTGCGAATATCGATCAGTTGAATCTAGCCGCGGGAAAGGGCGAAGTTCACATTCACCATAACGAAAAAGGAGGAGGAGCAACTTTTAAAGTATTGCTCTAATTTGTAAGGCGTCCTTTCACACCGCGTACATTACAGAAATAACATTAATTTATTTATTAATTGCTGATCAGTTATTGGAATTAATGTAGTAATTTACTCATATTTTGGTAATGGCCAATCAGCATTTTTCTTATGCATTTTGTGATTGAAGACTCCTTCCTGCATGATGTTAAAATTTTACAAGAACGGTATGATCGTGAAAGAAGGACCATTACGATCTTACGATGATCCGACTGCAAGCTCGTTTATTCGTGATATTCTGGATGGATATTTTCCTTCTGAATTGCAACAAGGATATCCTGATGGAGTACCCTTCATAGTAAATTATTAGTCAAATAAGATTTTAAAGAGGATATATATATATATATATATGTATATGATTTGTTCTTTGCACTTTTTTTTTATTACGGATTCTTTAATTAATGTGAAATTGATTATTAGCTAACAAAAATTTAATTGGCTATCATTATTTTTATTTTCTCTTGAAGATAGAAGATCGCAGAACGGAATTATATGCAGGCGACACTGCTAGCTTTCCTGGTCAAGGATATCGGTTGGGAAAACAATCTGCAGTAGATAGCTTGTTATCGACTAACTCACGAAAGCCAAATATCGTTTTGCAAAGATCTGGTCGTATCAGTCCTTTACTAAAAGATAACGCGTCCGAGAATATTCCGCTTTTATCTCTTCAAACAAATCGGTATTTTATTACAGTCAGAATAAATAAATATTTAATAATTTATCATATTAATACATATCTTCAAATGCAAGAAACAATTAAATTTATCTCTATTGTTTCTTACAATGATATATAAGAAAATATTTTCTAAATTGTTAACCAATTTATAATTCATTTTTACACTTTTTATTAGTTTATTGAAATCCAGAATCTCTTTGGAAACACCTTCTGCTGATTTATTTTCTCTGAGATCGCAAATTTTGGCTTCACATAATAATGTTTGCTCGAGTTCTCATCTTCAGTCTCATATTAACGCAGAGTTAGCACGAAGCAGTCGACGAGAAAAAGTAAAGTTATTAAGCTCTTTATATTTGTTAAAATTCTTAAATCTCAAAATATTACAAATATTATTACTCCGAAAAAAGAGAGAATTGGCTACGAAAAATATGGAATTTGATATGTCGACGAATGAACAATCATTCTTGTCGAAGGATGCTTTGAGAACTCAAGGTAGCAACGGGAGATATCACAGTTCTTCCGACAGATCGTCATACAGGTTTTCTTTCAGATCAGATACATAAAAAATGAAATTGGCATTTATTTCCGTCTAGTCTGACATAAATCGTGGTTTTATTTATTTTCGATTGTTTTTTTTTTTTAATTAAATTTTGTTAGTCGACCGGGGACAGCTGGAAGTCGCCTTCGGCCGCGTTCGAAATCTGCTAGTTTATCTGGAGGACGATTGAATATCGGCATGCAATCAATATTACGATCAAAGGCGTCGAGCACAGCAGAAATTAATGATATCGGCGAGCTTAAGATCGCCAATCTCGCCTCTGGATATTCTACGACGAATCATCCTCGCGTTTCAAAATCAGCTACTTATGCAAGAAAGAGTACGGTGAGAAATGCATCTGGTTGGCAAAATATTAAAGAAATTATGTTTTGCCAAAAGCGAGATGCATTTGAATATGATCTCTTTGAAAATTCAAATGTTATTGTTTTAGCCTCCGTTATTGCATCAGATTAACGAGGCAACTGGAAAATCTGGCGAGTTGCGATTGAAAGTTAGATCATTGACTGGTAGTACTGTATATTTGGTGCATGTGTTTGCTGACGAATCGGTGGCAAAATTATACGAATTACTTGATAAAGCTATGCAAACATCCGGACATAGAGGATATAAAGTAGTTTTGAGCGGGTAAGAAGATATCTGATTTCTTTTTATTGATTCACATTTAATATTAATAATATCATTACTTTGTTGTTAATTTGGAGTGCGTTAGATCCTTTATCTATTTGCATTTTTGACTTTTTAATTATAATTGCTTAAAGATATTCGCCGAAGAGGTTGGAACGTATAAATGCGTCTTTAAAAGAAAGCGGTATCAGCAGAGATTGCGTCCTTCATCTTGTGAATGATTGAATGTTTATCATGTCGTGAAAATAGAGTTTCCTATATGTCCTGTTTGTTAAAAAAAGTATGTAAGCAGAAATGCTGTAAATTTAAAGTCTTTGATATGTAACTTTGCAAATATAGCAAATATGTCTACAAATTACTGCACTCATTGTAAAATGTTTTTGAGATTTATTACTAAAAACCTTTAGTTAATGTATTTTATAGAAAATTAATACACAATATATATATATATATATATATATATATATATAAATATATATTAAATATATATATTACATTCATCATTAAAAAGATGCTTTTAATCAAAAGAGATTTTAACAAATAAAAATATACGTAAAATGTGCGGCAAGAATATCAGATCTTTTTAGATTAACGTCAAGATTTATTGCATAGATCGCCTAGTAATATATAACGACGTAAAAACATATATTGTACACAATATACCACATAATATATATTATTAAAAGTAATAAGTATATTATAAATATATACATCTACATATATAAAAAAACGAGAAAACAATAATATATGTACAATATAAATAAAAAAAAAAAATGATCAGAAATATTTGATAATAATTGATAAGCGCAAACTTTTAATTAATATTAATGATTTATCACGGCAATCATTTTACGCGCGCAGGCAATGAATATGAGAAAAGACAATCTTTCGATCTCCAATTTACTATAATCGATGCAGCGTAAGTCATTTCAATAATAGGCAATACAAATGTGTTGTTATGTCGATCAATGAAATAGATTTTACGTTAGCATGGTACATATTTTTGATATTGATGGCGCACACGTACGCACATTTACACACATACACACTTTCCCTCTCTCTCTCTTTCTCTCTCTGACTTGAATATATATGTATATTTGATAATTAATACTTCCATATACAATGAACGGCGGAACAATATCTCCGTCATAATTAACTCTAGAGGTCATTGCTCTATGATTTAGGGTTCTAATTAGAGAATGAATTGATCTATGATTCACAGTTACTAATTATATACCGGCAAGTACGCAAATATTTGAAAATAATATTATCATTAAGTAATAGTATCTTTTTTTAAAAAAGATCTGTAATATATGTTATTTAAAATTTTTCCATTGAACTATTTTGCATGCAACAGTAAATATAAGAGACTTTAAATGCATAATCATATATTCTTTTAATGGAAATTTATTTAATCATTGCTATTTCATTAAATATCAATAATATTGAGCCATTTTTATTAGTTAATTTGATCCATTTTTATTAATAAAATACTGTAATATATTTAATGCAATTAATAATAAATTTATATTTTTCTCTTTGTAATTTATTTTATGATATTAATAACTTATTATTGCAAAATTAGTTTCTCTTCTGCTATTACATTTTATTAATATTATAATAATGTGTTATACTTTATTATGAGATATAATTATATAATTTTACAATTGAGAGATTAGGACCATATAAATTAAAAAAATAATAATATTTTATATGCAAAAGAAATTCCGCATTTCGTTACTTTTTTACTGTATTAATAAAGAGTAGAAATGTGATCAAAATAATCCGTGAAAATATTATATTTAACTGTAACAGCTAAATCTTTCTATCATTCAAAAATACATGATATCAAATAGGATTTCAATTATTATTAAGATTTATTAAAACACTATTTAAATCTATACGTATTTACAAATCCATGGAATATAGAATGAATTAAATAATACAATAGTATACATACATTGCGTGAGAATCAGTATTAGAAAATTTATGGCATTTTTTATCATTATCGCGACAGACTACGTCACGATAGCTTCGAGCTTTATCAATCAACGGGATAGGACTCGCGCAGATTTATCTATGGGCCCCTACCGACAGATCTGTCAACGGAAGCTTTTCGATCAGATATCAGGATGGAACGGTTAATAAGAGGTCCTGTTTGTCAATCGATATCCAAACTAGTCGACACCCCCTCGGGAAATTTCTGGCGTAGAGGCTCGTAAATTTTGCGAGTACCAAGCGAGCCAGGCTTCGCTTAACGGCTCGATTATTGAAAATAAAGGAACGCAATCAACTTGATCGAGCGCCCGTACCGTCGTAAAATGTAAAATAAGAGCAGAGAACCGAAAAGAACCGCCAATCGAGATTTGCGGTTTTTTTTTTGTTAATTAAAAACTAAATGAGTTTTCCAGATTATGCAATAGTAACGAATAAGCACGCAATATGTGTGTTTTAATGTGCTTAATGAAGCAAAATTACAGTGTTATGAATAGCAATTATCTTGGCGAACGACTTGTCAGTCGATGAAACGACAAAGGTATTTTATGCAATAACGTTTAACGAAGATTACGTAACGGATTACTTTACATATCTACATCAATGTTAACAGTTAATAGACTATCATTAAGTTTATCTATAGTATAATTATTTCAATTTATACAATTACATTGGCAAACTAAAACAACAAGTAGATTTTATGGAACAATATTTAATGAAGACTTACATAACGGATTATTTTATATTTTTATGTTTAATTTAATATTAACAATTGATAGACCATTATTAAGTTTATCTGTGCAATTATTTGAAAAAGTTTATAATACATTTATAAATATATATTCCAATGCTTAAATTAAAATAATCTAAAAAAAAAAAAAACACATGAGCTACAAACATTATATTGGGGGATTTCCTTATTGTATCATCGATTACTTGATGGAATGATATCATTGAATAAACTCAACTAATCAGGTTTCCAGTTTTCACATTGTTTCAAAGTCGATTAACGGAGGCCTTTTGATACATGTAATATAATTTTGTTCAAAATTCTTAACGAATGAAAGTAATATCATGGGTATTATACGTGAAATGGAGTCTACATAAATATACCAGAGCATTCACAGAGACACGATGCGAGACAGATGGCGAATTAGATCTAATTGTAAAAAATGACGAATATATTTCTTCTGAAAATATTAAAATATGGAAGATAAAATTTGTGGAAAAACTCGATCCAATCATTCTCACTCAATATCATCGATTTGTCTTTTGTTCGCGATTTTTTCATTTTGCCATAATATATGTCATTATTTTTATAATTAACTATGTAGGAGTCGCGAAAAACTAACTTAGGATATTAGAAATATAATTTTCTGTAAAATGAAGAGATTATCTTTAAAAAAACTTTGGTCAATAATTTTATTTAGATCCTATGAATTACATAATAGATGGAATAGAAATAAAACATGTTTTTTTATTTCAATATTTTCTCTCCCAGTAAAATGAAATTATATAACTATTGATTGTATACTTAAATTATAAAAACATGAAAAATGAGTAATTTATTAAATAAATAGTTGTTGTTGACACTTCTTGATATTTTGCCAAACAACAATATTATTGCGTATTTTCCTGTTTCTCCTCTGCCAATAATTTACACTTTATTTCAATTACTATTGTTACTAATGAATGGGTTGCGGTAAAATCTACTTCTCTCTCCTCTTGCATATGTAACGTGCGATTTGTTAATAGCATAAACGGCGACCTTATAAAAGTATTTATATACTTATATATATAAATTCATTTTTTTTCTTTTTCAAAAAAATATCGCTATTATTTTGCCGTTCTTTTTATGATTAATTCCTCAACTACAAGTTTAAAAAAAAAAAAAAAGGATCTCTTTTTTTTCTCACATGTAGATTATAAGTGTTCCACTATTATGTAATATAATAACACTGTGAAAAGTATATTAATTATACAGGTTATGAAATTTTTCCTATCTCTGTTGGCGACATCTGCTTTAACGCATTGAGCCAATGGATTCTCTCCATTGGTCTCAACGTTTTGAAAGACAAAAAAGTAAAAGAAAAAAGAGAGAGAAAAGAACGATGAGATAAGAAGATCGTTTGTTCTAGGGTCTCATTAAGCAGGTATTGAAAATTTTTTCCTCGTTTACGAATCTCTGCATCTTCCAATGTATTTATCTGGCACTTTATGAATAATTTCAGTGCATATTAAAAATTCGAAAATGCAATCACGACATCATTATAATAATCCTTAATGTTACACGATAAATAGAAATAAAAATTAAAAGAAAATTCTATTATTTAAAAAATTAGGAAAAGGATAGATGTGACAAATTTGTTTTACTTAATTTGTTTTATGTTTTAATTGTTGATCTTATGCTTATCTTTCTCTCTCTCTTTTTTTCTTTTAAAGATATATGCTATGAGAAATGTTTCAAGAGATATATTATAAAATCATGTACATGTTAATAGTTAACCACTTCTGAAAGAACTATCAGAGTTTCGTTCGAGGATGATTGCGTTCCATGTACTTTCCCCTCATTTTTTTTCTGATCTCAAATGTCAGAGAATGACCTAAATTTTAACGTACTCTCTTTGAAGCGACACAATTAAACGAATGCAATTTTCAATATGGCGTAACTGTGTTCACTTCGACAATAATTTAATCTTTTTTCAATAGTTTGAACGCTTTTGTTTCGATAATACAAAATGTACACGAAAAGAATAACGGTATGACATGGTATTCCGTAACAATATTTGATGAAATTGGAAATGAAAATTTTTAGAATATATATAAAAATATATATAAAAATGTTAACGTGTTAAAACATATATCGAGTTAAATATTAAGGCTTATTTAGCACGTTATTTCTGCTCGAGATGCCTTTTCGTTGAATGCACACCAAGTCTTTGAACCGATTAGAGAATCTGAGAGCTGCGCAATGTCCTATCATGCATATTTCACCGAATGCTTTATCTGCTTTGTTCTATGGATATCGGATTATATATGAATGTAGATTTGCGCTGAAACAATTTCCTCGAAATCCGTCGAACATAGTTACTGTCTATAGAGCGGATTGTTGAAATCGATTGTATGCGACATCGAGAGATATCTTCGCGGCAGATTTGTCGAAAATGCGGATATGTACAATCAGATTGGCGTAAATACTATAACCGTCGTGAATGGTCGAAAAGGTTGGGATATTCCAAATATTTTATTGAAGAGTTGTGATTGATGGAATATCGTATTGACTAGTCATGTTTTCCACAAAATGCTGCGCTGATAGAATTGCTTGCTATAGAAAAATGCAATTGCAGAGTTATGCAGCGCTCATCAAAAGCGTTCATTGAACATTCTTTCATGAGACGAGAAATTGATTGATTGCTTCACCTCGCAGTTATGAAAGAGTTAAAGAAGTCAGATAGCCATAATAGTCTTCGATAGCCAATCCAATAGATTGAATAAGTGTTTCAGAAAGATGAGAGAAATAAAGTATAAATAATTGAATATACCAAAAAAAGAGTATGAAAAATATAGAACATGCATTGTAACTCTCTTTTTCATTCTCTAATTTCTAGTTCTATTCTGAAAGAGTTAGCTTCTTTTTCAAATTATGTTTCTCTATAAAAAAATAATATATTAGAAATTGTAGAGTTTTCTTATAAAAGTATTTATATACTTATATATATAAATTCATTTTTTTTTCTTTTTCAAAAAAATATCGCTATTATTTTGCCGTTCTTTTTATGATTAATTCCTCAACTACAAGTTTAAAAAAAAAAAAAAAGGATCTCTTTTTTTTCTCACATGTAGATTATAAGTGTTCCACTATTATGTAATATAATAACACTGTGAAAAGTATATTAATTATACAGGTTATGAAATTTTTATGAGCGTCGAAAATGTTTATTTTTTTCATTATTAAATATTGTACAACCCATGTTTAAACCTTTTATTTCGATGTAGAGAAAGTATTCAAACATTTGCTGTTTTCGTTGCTAATAAACATTCTTTTTAATTAATTTTTCATTATTAATGCGCCAATAAACCATCATTGTTAGTTTTTAATTTGAGTTTTATATCATTTGTCTCTTCTTCGACAAAGAGGAAACATAAAGCTTAATTTCGCCGTAAAATACCGTAACATATCGTAATATAATATTCAATATTTTTAAAAATATCGAAAGAACTCTCACAAAAAAAGTATACAGAAATATTTTTTTTGCAAATGCAAGTAATGCGTCGCAATGTTACATACAGAGAGAATTACCAATATCGAATTTTCAATTGAGAACTTTTTTGCGCAGACTTACACACGTGGAATCATCGCGTTTGCTAATAAATTAATTTTCGCTTTTTAACTGTACGTGTTTCATATAATGTCATTATCTAGCCGTATAAATGTGTTGAAAATGTATCGCGAATTGCTTGTCAGATGTGGCAGTATGGATTGCTCGTTTTTTTTTTTTGCGCACGTTCTATTTCTTCAACTCTCTTTCTTTCTTTTTCTCATAACGAAACTTTTTTTTGTTAAGGAGGAATGGGACGAATTAGCTATATCAAAAATGAATAAATCTAATACATTTCGAGATTCATTTGATATTGTGCAAAAGTATTTTTTCAGACTTTTAAAATATAAAATTAATAATTAATTTGTGAGTTAAAATAAAGATTTGTCCTGTAGGATTAGAATCTTTATTTTCATGAATGTTTGTCAGTCACTATAAAATTTTTGTGGTGCAGTCGCTATAAAAAAGTTAGTTCGATATAAATTAATATTTACGATTTTAAGATTAAATTATATTCAACAGAGCAAATCTTTACTTTAACTCACAAATTAATAATTAATTTTATATTTTAAAAGGCTAAAAATTTGCTTTGCATAAATGTCAAATTCATTAATCTCGAAATATATTAGATTTATTAACTTTTGACATATCTGATCCGTCCAGTTTCTTCTTAAGTGTTCGCATACATACACTTATACATTCACTCCCATTCTTCACGTCCAACGGCTAGTGTAACATATTAATAAATTCGCCACACACGACGTAATCTCCTCAACAAACAGTAATATAATAATATATTCACAATATATGAAACTTTGCGTATATAGCTAAAAACAGTTAATCGGCTTATCTATTTTTTTCTATCTTCTCGTGAAAAATGCTCGCTGTACACACGTCAATGATAATAACCTATTCGATTGTGTCAAAATATGACTAGGTCTTTCGCGCGCTCCGATTTTTTTCATCTACCACAAGCGCGCGTAATATGTTCGTATTTATGTACACACACGTCGACGTATACATACATATATATATATATATATATTTATACATATACATTACGTTATAAGTGCATTTATAAATCGCACACATATATTATATATATTTATACAAAAGATTTATAAATCACTTTTCAACAGTTAGTGTACCATCATGCTTATACATAAGACAATGGGATCCCACCGAATGATCGTGTACTTTTTTTTCATCATTTTAATTATCTTACGACTCAATTTCTGATTATTTTTGTGCCAATGTATATATGTGTGTTCCTTTTAAAAATAACTAATTTTTTTACTAAATCGCTTATTTATACATACGTTGATCACGCTGACATAGTATGGTATTAACATGGCAAAAAAGATTTCTTATAATATATACGAAACGCACGTCATTATCAGGATATATTTGTTGTAATTTTTTTGTGACTCGAACTTTGAGTTGTTTGTTCCTCTAATTAAATGATTCAAAGGGATTTCTGATAAGAAATTGTTAAAAACGCAGTGAATTTTTTAAAATTAGATTTTGATTTTACTTTTTGTTAATTATCTTTTATGGAATAATGTGAAGTAATTTAGAAAAATTTAGAAGTTTAGAAATAATATGAATTCTTCATAATAAGAAGCATCATTTATATTAACTTGTCGCAATTTAATTTTTGTATTCGTCGATCTTTGCTCAAAATTATTGGGTGTTTGTTTGCTTTGACATTTGTTTAGGCTAAATTTGGCAGTGATTACTAATTTGAATTTGGTCCGAGTCATATGATACAGCCCTCGATGTTTTATTGCACTATATTTTTCATTGCGTGTGAAAGTTTTATTTAGCTGTTTAATAATCGATTATTTATGCATCTATTGGTTTCTTTCGCTTCGCATTTTCGAGATCGAGATCGAGGACTCGTGAAAGAGAAAGTATTTATGCGCGAATATTATGGTTGCAAAAATACAGTCCGAAATTATTGTCATTGGAATTTGCATTCCAATAGACGTTGACATCGCGTTAGTGTGGGACCGTGTCAGCGATCTCGCAATCGACTTGACGCTCGCGTTCACAGAAATCGCAAAATCCGGCATGATGATCGTAAAGTAATTGCATATTACTGTCAATCAGTTAAGAGGCAATCGCGGATATTTTCTTAGCTATTTCGTATATAATGAATGATTCTTTGGCTGTTTCCGCGAGAAATTTCTAGCCTATAAATTGCAATATAACTTTGAAATACAATTCTGTACGCGAAAACCAGCCTTCAACGAACTTTATCGGCTTTTTACATCCGTTTCGATATGTGTAATTTGAAATTCGGCTCTTGAAATCTGCTCGCGTTCCGCCGACACACATGCCGTGGCATCGCGGTCGGTTCCGGTCAGCGCGGTCTGGCTGGACACACTTCGGACAAACGTTCGGCTCTTTTCATTCGATATTCTGCCGTTGCGTCGGGAAATTTCGAAACACGAGCAATTCCTGGTCAACTGGCATTGCGCGTGGCATTTTATTTTCCATGCAGTCCCTATTATTCCTATTTATCACGATTGATCTATGACACTTCATGCACTGGCACTTTTCGATTTGATCCCGGCTCGATTTGTTGGTCAGATGTATGCTTTCATTAGCTATATATATATACCACGGGTCTCTCGTTTGAATAGCATTCCGTCGTTTTCATCTGCTTTGATCCCAATAGTTTCGGGAACCACTCGTTCATTGAGATGTTGGCCTCTATTAACGAACGCAGAACAGCTACGTAGCTTCCATTATCCTGATTAGATCATACATTTTTGTAACACTGCCGGCGCGATTTCGCTGATTCTTCGAATATTGAGATAATAATATCATACACATTTGTTTACTGTCGGGGCACAATAATCGATACTACACGATACCACGTTCGAGAACGTATTTCTCATTTAAAACGAAAATAAATAAACAAAATATTTCAGTTCTCTCGTCCGATTGATTGATCGCTCAGCCTCAGTTTCTCGTCATCACGCTTTCAATCAATGATGATCCGACATCGTCGTCGGCGCGGGATGGCCCTCGTTGCGGTTTACCGACCCGCCCCGGCGACTATATGTGCTATAAGCACGTCTCCTTCTGATCGATTACATTGATGACCACTGAAGCCTGCGTGGACAGCTCCTTTTGGGCTGGTACACCTGTCGGTACCTCCTCGAGTATTGGTCAAAGAGTCGTGGTCCTCGAGACCGTTGCCGAGGGCGGCGGCGGTGGCGGGGGCGGCGGAGAAATCACTACGTCCGGTTCACCCGCTAGGTCGCAATCGAATCTCCAGAGAATATTCTCAGGATGGTCACCTCCTAATGCGTAGCATAGTGGTTAATAATTCATTTTCATTGAAATCACATTGATATAAGTATATATCATTTGCTTTCAATATCTTTATACAATCGATTCTTTAAACTTAAATGTACATATAAGCGTACTTTTTAATTAAAATTTAATTGAATATACACAGGCATAAAATATTTTTTTAGATACATTGTAGGTTTAAACAAAAAAACTAAACAGTTACTATATTTTTACAGGTAACTAATATATGTATGCATAATATGTACATAAAACTTTTGGAACAGTAATTTAAATAAATATGACAACACACAATAGGAAAGAGAAATTTTTAGAAAGAATAAATGAAAAGAATAGAAGATTATAAAATGATTTTCTGACATTTCAATAAGTATATATAGAGAGAAAAAATGTTGTTTCTGCTTAAACTAAATTTACAATTTTTTTTTCTTTTTGGCTAACTTTATTACCATCTACGATGTTTTAAATTAATCCATGCAAATTTAAGCATAACGATCAACATGCCGCTCGACGTAGCGAATATAATAGGATGGGATAATCGGTATTCGTGGTCAATAGACAATCATACCTTGACCCAAGATGATGCCCGAAGAGCCCCGTCTCTGTCTCGGCGGAGGTGCTTGGTGTTTGTGCGCATGGTGACTGTGTAGGTGTGAATGTGAGTGGCAGTGTGTGTGACGCGTGTGCGTGGGAGTGGCTTTGCACAGTGGCGGTTGCTGTTGTTGCGATTGTTGCTGAAGTTGCTGCTGCTGCTGTTGTTGCTGTTGTTGACGACGAAGATGAGGATGAGGCCTGTGCTAGGTGTTTCCGCCATGGGACACCTGATCGAAGCTCAATGATTTCTTCATCTCCGTCATCGACAACGCACCACCCTCCTGCTGAGAAACAAGTAAGCGCAAGTGTTAGCTGTATCGGACCGACCAGCAAAGGATCGACTTTCACAACGACGCAAGTAGACACGGACAAGTTATTAAAAGTTGCGCGATATTGTTAAAAGTTTATTAAAAAGATAGAGAAACATGAGAGGAAAAGGTTATCATTAAGCCGCGCGCGATAGTGTTGATAACTATGTCTTTAGAGTTGTCTGTTGGAAACAAAGAGCACGTGCTCCGCGAAATAATTTTTTGCCAGGAATTCCGGAATACGGTGGTACCGATATGGCTTTCAGATCACGTTTTTAGAATGGAACGAAGCGCGTGCGATACACGCAGATATATTGCCTGTTAAAAGATAATTATATGAAGGCGGAGCAGTTCATAAAAGCGAATAGTAGTCTCCCTGTGCGAATATAGTCTAGACATCCATCTTATGTTGATAATTACGAAATAAAAGATAATAACAGATTAATACGTACTGACATGACTAATTACTTAATAATTTCTAACATTAAGGACAAGATCATTAAATACGAGAATCTTAATTTAAGAACTATACTACTAAGAACTTTTAAGATTATCTTAATTTAAAAATTATACTATAACTTTCTACGCAATTTTGCAGGAAATTGAGAAACGTGAATAATCTAATTAAGATGTGAAAAACAGATTTTCAGAAACTTGAATAATCAGAGTATAAAAAGCAGAACAAAGCATTAATAATTGTCTGGGTTTATTCTCTTATATAGTTAAATTATAGAAATGCTTAGTAAATTTAAAAAATTATATAAATATAAATAATTTTAATATCAGTGTGTATATTATTTTTCATATTTTCAAAATTCTATAGATATACGTTATAAAATTATTATCATTTTTGTCTAAAAAGATTAAAATATTTTTATTTTTAATCTTATTTATGTGTGAATAAACGCGGAAGTTAGGACTCAAAAAATACAATTGTAATAATGTGACAGATAATGAGTAGAGAATATTCAAAGCCAACGGAGAGACAGAATAATGCGGTTGATGCGGTTTATTGGAATTCAGAATGCACTATTTTCGCTTAAATACAATTACATTTTCTCGATAATGCGAATGTCGCTATTCACTGTATGTGTCAGCAAATGGTATGCACAAGTATGAGCTAATTACTGTCAGATAGTTGAATCACGTTTGTATTACGATACAATACATTCGATTTCGTGAACGCGTGTACTACGATACAATACATTCGATTCGCAGTTTCTCGATTGTATACGCGGAAATGCACCGCACGTCAAATAAAATATTTATTACAAAAATTATTATTTTTTTATGTTTTGATGGAAGGATAGAAGAAATGAATGATTGAAGAGTTTGAATGATCCATAGAATTGACATTTTTAGTTGAGCAATCGTTGTGGCAATATTTTGCAAGTAACGGCCTGAAAGACACGTCATTTATCTCCGAGAGAAATTAGTCGTTAGAATTCGAAATAACAGTTACATATAGTTTTGAAGGAATTCGTTGATTGAGTTGCTAATTTTACTTTGGCATGATGGTAATTAAACTTTAAAGTGGAGAAGTCCGTATCCGAGAGGAAGAGATAAGATGTCAAAGCGGGAAGAGGTGAAGGGAGAGAGCAATATATTATCGTTCTTGTCGTGCGAAAATTTGCTTTGAAGCACGTCAACACTTCACGAAATTTTCACTGCTAATCAAAAGATATCGCCCATCTTAATATTTGCAATTTAAACGGCGTCGTACACGAGATGGAAAGATTAAGTATTTAGTCGTAGAAAAGTACGCAAAAAATACGAATTGTTTTAGAACTTTTTGTGATAATTTGCTAAAATAAAATATTTTTAATAAAAGTAAATAAATATAAATAAAGAATGAGAAAAGAGAAAAAATATTTTTAAATTTTGTTAATTTTAAGAATGACACGAAATTATGAAATAATTTTTTTTTATAATTTGTGTCAACGAGTTATATAAAATAAATGATACATTATTGCAAAGCAAAATTACGATAAGTTTTATTCTCTCTCCACAGTTTTTTGTTTATTGATTTCATACTCTGAAAATAGAGGAAAAGGATGACATTTACGAGTTCGAAAGAACACAATTCGAAAAAATTGTATCGCGAGATCTTTTTACAAAACTTTAAGACATTTGCACTTTTAAATACTAGGATATTTTACTTTATGTGTTTTTAAGAAACTATTCCATTTTTGAGGATATAATGTTTGTACAAAGTATACTCCTGCAAGTTTTCGTATAGGATATCCCTGATAGGTTTGCATAGACGGGGATAACTTTCTATCAGAATGTAATATATTCCTTCTCAAGTTTTCAAGACGAGCATCACCGACTTACATCGTTAAAGAAAAGAAATAAACGTAAAGGGTATGTCAGACATCAAATTCTCTTTCATGTGTCACATATATTTACATCATGAAGCTAAACCATTCCCGACAGAAATTCTACTAAATTACGTTCGACGATATAACACACAATAGAGCGCGCGTTACTATTGTTAAAAGTTTACGCATGCAATTAGATGTGTGTATACTGCAATTGTAAGCGTGTGCAATAATCCCTTCGATGACACCACAGGCAATTCGCTCAAGATTGCGTGAGATACGAACGTGCGATAACAAAAAAAAATACATTATAATAATATTATATATATTGACATTTTTTGTAATGCTCGCGCGTAAAAGAATCTTGGAAGTACAAAATCAACCCAACGGCTATATATATACTCAACAATGTAATTGTCATAACACTTTACAAAAAACGTAGAACAATGCGAAATCCGTAGAATGTTTTGGCATTTATAATTGTACTCCCTTGTCGAAACGTGTATTATATGCTTGTATTCCTAGATTATCCATGATTTTCTCTGATTTCGAGCTGTTTAGAATATAAAAATGAAGAATGTTTGGGCTCCCTGGAAGCTATACTCTTAGCACGGTAACTCTAATTACCGCGCGATATTGGATTTTCGACTGACTACACGCATGCATAGAGTTTTTACGAAGATGCTTTATTCGTTAACACTTAACACAAAAGACGAGAAAAATCTCGAGCTCGGAATTGACTTTGCTCAGTGAAATTGAATTACCGTGGAATGAGTATCGCTCTCCGCGACCAGCAATCGGCTCTCCTCGGAAAGCTTCTATAATCCGCTGCCGCATTTGTATCTCTCCTGATTGTTACACCACTTTTCTTCGCGAATATATACGTCAATGACTATTTGTTCATTTAATCCGTTGCAAATTGCTGAATAGAATCTGTAATTGCGTGAGTTGTGTACGAGCCGTTGTTACTTTCTTTTTAAAATCGAATGAAGGATAAAAAGAAGCAGAATACGCAATTTACGATATGAATAGTGAGAGATAATTGACTAATATGTGATCAAAACGCGTAAAATTTAGCGTTGTCCTCGGAGACGCCGATTGAGATTAATCGCGCGAGCCCGTCATGCGGGACAAGACTTACACCATTTAATCGCGGGAACTCGATGCTCGGTATGTAGGTGGTCTCCTCGTGTTCCGGCGTGGAAGAGAGACGCGTTCTTCTTCGGTAGGACGATCCGGCGACCGCGGAATTGCGCGATTTCGCGGCAGGCCTCTGGCGGGAGCCGCAGCGGACGGCAAATCGCAATTCCGAGGCCATTTCGGCGCAGAGGGACTGTCGAGAGCGATTAAACGTGGTCGAGATGGGCAGGAGGTGCACGCGGATGTGTTTACCGTCCAAGGTGATCGCCGACGATGCAGGCAGATGCCGATACGACAGGTACAACATACACCAAGAGACACAATACACACGAGACGATCATACGAGACCGAACGCATGCAAGAGGCTGATTTCTCCGTCGAGCGAGGCCGTTCATTGCTCGTTATTTACGATGTCGTTCCTTTGATCACGAGCCGCGCGGATACGACTTATTGCATTAACATCTAATCGCATTTCTCGTGTGGTATACGTAAACTCGATATATTTGTTAGAGAGCAAATATCGTCAGAATATGAAAAGACGAATTACTTGACCTGAAAACGCGAGAACGGAGAGAATGAAGAGGCATCAAATTGATTAATTTTTTTTTTTTTTGTGATAATAATACAATCATAATTCTTATTTTTTTTCTGAAAATCAAAATTGAATTTTCTGTTATTTTATACACTTGTTCACACCGTTCAGTCTAAGATATATGAGTAATATTATAACAAAAACGCGTCAAAAACATAATAAATAATAACTCGGAAGCAGAAGTAATTGCATCAAGATTTTGAGGAATACTAGAATTTTAATTCGAGACTCACACACACAAACAACCTCGCCCAATCAAGAGAAAGTACAACTCATGCAACACGTTCACGCGAAGCGTAAAATTCTGTACCGTCCTGTCGGCATTTTGCTTAACTTACCCTGTCCGATTGGGTATTCTTCTTTGAGTTCCAGCAGAACTCGAGGATCGCCACTAAGATCGCGAGCGCCAGGCCGCAGAGCAACACAACAAAGACACCGCCTGGAATGACAAAACCGGAAGCTCATTATTTTAATGCCGGCGGGCTCATTCCTTCGCCCTTCTATAATTTCACCGAGCAGGACGCCGTTGGCTGTCAAGAAATACGGGTGTGTTTATCCTCCATCTCGAGTTTGTCCTATCTCCTCTTTTTTTCACCCCTGCCCATCTTCGCTAGTTTGTCGGAGAGCGAAGAGAAGAAGAAGAAAAAGGAAAAAAAGGGAAATAAAAAAGTTCTTGGCCGCGGAAAATCGTGCGCGCAATATCAAAGCGAAGCGTGCGTTCTCAGATCGATCGCCTTTTCGTCGTTTCATGGATAAACTACGCAACGGAGTATTTGCGAGTAGGGCGTGGAAACATATATACTGATAAATGGCCGGGTATTTGTATTTATCGCGATGCGAGAATCACATGCAAAAACGATAAACCTCGAGAGATATTTACGCGCTTGCCGCGTGAAGTTTAGTTCATGCTCGACGAAAGAGGATGGAAGGTATGCGGAAGTTCAAGAACGCATTCGTAATTAACGATTGTTTCGCAAAGTTATTCGTGAGATTGGAACTATTTGCTTGTATCTTAGTGAATTTACGCAATGCGTATTGCTGTGTTTCTCCATTCTCTTATTTTTTCAATCAGCATTACACTCGATATTTCAAAATCACTGTAATCGAGATAATGATTGTGATAAAATTTACAGAGAATTAAAAAATGTCGAATATCTTAAAATCCGTATTTTATTTCAGCACTGTTAAAATTGCGTATATAGGACGTGCAAAAAATATATGATTAGATATAAAATTTGAATGAACTGCCTGCAATGAGGTTGAAGTAAACACTTCAACTTTGAGACGGAAGTCTAATATTCCTCTTCATATGATCAGAGATAAGTTTTCACTTCGCTGGTCGAAAAGACAGTACGCCAAGTTCGCTTCAAGGCAGTCAACAAGTTTGCCTTAGAAGAACTTTTCAATTTCTCCTATATTCATATTTCCCGATGAGAAATTAAATCGTGCATTAATCGATTTTTGCAGCTATTATTTATAATACTATAATTTATTGTCAAAAAATCCTTCCATATATATTTAGATTTCTAAGATGTTACATTATTTCCGATTAATTAATATATAAGATAGAATTTGTAAATTTATAGGCAACAATTTATTTCTTTCTTAATTTATTTCCCTCTATTATAATTTATTTTTCTTTAATTTATACGAAATAAAAATTAAACATAAGATTAAAATAAGATAAAACTCGGTGAAATACATTCACTTATGTCGGCAAATACTCTTTATATCCCCGCGAAAAACTTTCGACTATATATTTCAAGCCAAAAGAAAGAATGGGGTACAAAGTATATAGGAGGGAGGAATTTTTGAGCAGGCTAAAAAGTGTCCACTTATCGTTGACGGCAAGACAACTGAGCCGGGATTCCCGGGGGATGCAGGGTAGATTTGCATAACTACACCATCATGATTTATGACGACAGTCCGGACTTACTGTCGCCGGAAGGAGGAAAGTTTCTCGCACGGGCGCCGTGATATCGCCATGGCTTCGCGCCTGTTTCGCGAAACGATATCAAGAGAGGCGCGGACCGGAGAAAGATCGCGCGACATTGTGCGTCTACAGGCCAATTCAAGTTTCGCGGTAGGAAGTTCTGCTCGTCGAGAAATATACGCTTAAGTTTCCTTCTAGTAGGACAACGGTAAGTTTCTCGCGACACTTGGCAATTATCCGTAACTCATCGTTCTCGAAGAGATTCTCGTTAATCCGGAAATTCGTAGATTTGGCGATGCTCAAAGATAAATGGAGCAAATGGAATACAAGGTCGCTCGAGGTAGACACTAATTGAATTCGAGCAAGACTCCGATATTGTTATTTTTATACTACTGCAATGTGTTTATTGCTCTCACTTTATGGATTAATGAGTGCGAGATAAATGTATCGTATATATATATTTTATATGATTTAAAATCGGTTAATTTGCTGTACTTTACTTAGAGTGTTTTGTGTGTGTGTGTTTGTTTTTCTCTTCAATTCTTCTAATTTTTGAACTAACGTAAAAAGAATTGACTGTTTAAACGGTCTTGTGTTTCTTGTTCACTCTTTTCAGTTCTAACTTTAGAAAAACAAAATATAAACTAAAGTTGAAGTAACTAACGTTGATAAAACTTACTTGGTGGTAGTTTTATATTTCACATATATATTTTTAGTTTCTTGTTTTATTTCTTTCTTTATTTGTATAAAAAATTTGTCTTTTATAACAAACATAATATTAAATTTCTGCGAAATTTTTAATACAAATAATTTCAATTTAAGATAATTGGCATAATAATTACAAGACAGTTTTTGCTCTAAAAAGAGATTCTCTCTGATGTTAAAGCTTCAGAAAGGAGAAAAAGCCAATTTATATTTTACATTTCTGTCTCACAATCACTTTTTAAGATTATGAAAATGAAAGAGCTTTCTTCTCCAGACGGTAGACTGCTTACTTTTATAAAATAGCGCGAAATAAAGGTCAGCCAGTGACGATCGTTCATTTTCTACGGCAAATAATCGAGACATTGAAAAGAACTGGGATTAGCAATTCAACTGTAATTTCGCGAGATTTTCGCACCGCGACGCGACGCCGGGACGATTCGTTCTTTTTTCTGTCTCGTCGAGTACATTTACACCATCGGCAAAATGGGTACTTATCCAAGTTATAGACTACGACGGAGAGAAAGAGAAAGAGCGAAAGAGGAAGAGAGAGGAAAAAGAGGCAAAGTAGGTAGAGAGTTTCCGCGAATGAGAAAAAAAAAAAGGAAAACTCGAGCCAAAGCGGGAAGAGAAAAAAGGAACTTGTTGTGACTTCCATAAAAATCCGGAAGCGGTTTCCGAAGAGTTCTAAGAAAAATTTGTCCGCGAACTTTGCACGAGATTCTGCCGTGCTTGAAAGCCTCCTTTTTCTTTCGTTTCAGACTTTGTCTCCATCGCGTTCGACCGGAGGGGATATCATTGTTCTTTACTATATAGTAACAAATTAATCGTTTCGACATTTATTAAGAGAAATCTTATGTTCGCGTATGAGATATTTCCGTAGAAATATTATCGAGATATTTTGACATCTATATAATAAATACAACTTTTTAATCGGAAGATTTGATCGGCGGACAAGACAAAGGCATTAAATGCAAAAGCATTGCTCGATTATAAACGAGTAAATAATTAATTTTTTTCTTAATACTTTATATAAAAAATGTAACCGCATTGTAATTTATGTAAATAATACTTTATTACAAATTATGCAATAATTTGTTAGCTGTTATATCTTTTCTAACGTATATACATGTATATCTGTCTGTAGTAAAAACTGTTCAAATTCAGAGTCCATATAGGGATTCGTTAATAACTCACCTATATTTTCGACTCCGAGAGCGTTAGCCTTGCTCTCTTTATTCTTGTCGTCTCTGTTACACACATCGCCGGTGTTCTTCCACCATTTATCGTAGAGGATCTGTATTACACCTTTTTCCTGCAGCTCCAGAATAGCTAGAGATATTTTATCTCTCCAGGGCGAGCCTGCATATAAAAAGCCTTCGTTAGGCTGGTCAAGGGTTTCACAATTTCTGCCTCGGCGACATAATTCCGAGCGTAACTTTACTATTAGATTGCAAATTAAATATATGATCAAATATATACGATCAAAAATATATATGACGTAATAAAATATATAGAATTTTTTCTGCTTCGCGGAAAATAGAATTATTTCGGTATAGTATAGTTAGTTAACTGTACAAGCTACTTTATACAATGGCAAAATATACTTCTTTTAAACTTGAATATATTCTATGTCGGTTAATGAAACTGGTTTTTCTTTTCTAGAGATTTAATTAGTCACCAGCTGTTTTAGAGAAATTTCTCAACTTTCAATATTAAATACGTTGGTAACTATTTCTTAAATTAAACGTTTGTACAAGAGAAGTTACATTGATATCCTTATTCATATTTACCTTTCGGAGTAGCAATTCCGTATCCTTTGCTATCCAATAGACCTCCTATTTGCGTCAGATTGCAATCGCGTTGAACTGCATAATCGAGCATAGTCGATTCCATCAAAAATGCGTAGTCGCCTTCCAGAACTCTCTTTATACCTTCTTCATAGCTTTGAACGAACACACTTGGAGTCTTCGATTCCATAAACCTCCACATTTTCTGATAGATTCCAATTTTCGAGTCCTGTTAAATTATACAATACCAATTGTTTAATTCTATAACGCTTTATATCCAATTTTCTGATCTGCATTATAAGATTTGATTAAAAAATTTTAATTAAAAATTCCTTTTTAAAATGCATTGAAAAAATGAGAAAATTGATATTATATTAAAGGAGACTGTTAACTTTTTTTGAACTTATCGAGTCTATAAAACAAGTACTTTTATTGAATAAAAATGGTCGTTCTTTGATGTTATCTACTATAAAGTCAAATTCAGAAATTTTTTGCTTGGTAATTTCCGCGCTTGCTAATTTCCTTGTGTTTTCATAAGAAGAATAGCTTAGAAGAGGAGCAGGACTTATAAAAGTGGTGTTTTTATTCAACGAATAAAATATGTAGTTTTCTGATAAAACATCATACAGGAAAAATGTTAATATAATGATAACATATATTATCAAAAATATATCACAAATTATAATGTAAATCAGCAGATTTTTAGATATATATTTCTTTCTATGTCAGTACAAATATATCAGATATATAATTTGTTACATTTTATATTTTTACGCATATGTAATTTTATTATATCTTTTTCGAATTTTCGCAATACAACGAACTACATTGTTTATTAACGTAATATTTCTATTATCAAAATTTATTTTATTCATATACAGAATATTCAAAAGAAACCATTCAATATTTACATGGTAGATAGACATACCATATTGATGTGAGTAAAAAACCATTAGTAAATATAGGTCGAAAGCTCAACCTGAGATATAAACATTTTGTATGTTAACATCATGATTGATTTATTGGCTTTTACGTGTCGCATGCGATGTTTACCTCAGTGTTTGTTTATAAATCGCGTTTTTAATATCCTCATTCAATTTCCACACATACTTCATAACAGAAGATTTCACCGGCAATCAGTCAGTTGTCATCAACCGGCGATTGCGGATCTGTAAGAAGAAGATGCCAAGCGTGTATGGAAATGGAAGGAGGACATGTGGAACACCTTCTGTCAATATCGAGATAAAGGTTTAAACAGATTATCTTCTTCTCACGTCGCATGTTTACTAAGGTATTTTTATTCAGTATGATGTGTTCTATTTACATATAAATATTGAATAGTTCTTTTTGAACATCCTGTATGTAAATTATATATCGCTTGATTATTATATAATAAAATGAAAATTTGAACGCGAAAATTGTCATGTGTCCGATGAAAAATGCGATGGGAAGTGTTTTCAAGGAAAAAAATTCCAAATAAAATAACTATGCATGATTGATTAAGAAACATACCATTTCGGGAAATATAAAATTTTAATTTTTTCTTCATGATTTTGTACTTACTCTGAAAAATGTTTTCGTACTTCCACCCTCCAAAGTACCATAAGGTATCTCGGTTTGTTCCGCAAGATCGGCGGCGTTCTCGATTGGCGTTATCATTCTTTCAACTGTCAGAAAGGCCGCCAGATTCGCAGTGTAAGAGGAGATGATAATCAGCGTGAAGAACCACCATATGCCGCCTACTATTCTCGTACTAGTTGCCTGATAACGAGGATTAATTTTCCATCTTCATCTCTCGAATAAACTTAATGAAATAATATCGCATTTCTCACTCAGCAATTATACGAATATTTTAATTCGACAATTGAATCATATGGGAATCGATTAACAAGTCAAATTTTTCATCGCGAATATTATTAATTTAATTATATCTATTACTTATTCATATAAATTTTATTAACAATAATATTAATTTATTAATTATTTATTTGAGGCTGTTTTGTAAATTGCAAACTCGACACATTCATTCAGAATGTATATATAACTAATTAACATTAATAATCTTGTTACGTAATTTGTTATAATTTTGATAACGCAATGAATCAATTTTGTATCAATTGCATGTGCTTTTGAACAATTTAACAGCATCAGTTAGTATTTGTCAAACATAATGGAGATCATTTAATCCGTGTATCAATCAAATCAACAGTGTCGAAATCGAATAGTTGTAAACGCTTGAGAGAAACATCCGTCGTAAAATTCTAGTGAAAAGGGTCTTTTACGTGTTTTGCAATGCAACTTCACTATGAATACCTTTCACCTCTGTCGCGAGGTACCGTAAGGAGATTCAAAGATCGATCGAAAACGCATCAGGATGAATGACGAGGTCGATTTAAGGAGCTAGATCCCGGCGGGAAATATCGCGCAGCAGTGCGAAGGAATGCAATACGGGAATCTCGTTTAAAATTCGCCGCCGGGATATTTCAACGCATTAACGGCGAGACCGAGGATCGCGGAAGCGATTGTCGAATATGAAACGCTCGTGAATGGCTTTCTCATTTCCATGTTAGGCGGCAGTCCTCCCGTTCGGCAGATGTGCAAATGATTTTAATTTTCTACCGCGCGGTAATATCCCGCAAAAGAGTAATAATTAAAGTACTTGATTTTCGTACGGCGAATGTATAATATCCGTGTTTTACGCTCGAGTGAAAGAGAAATTTTCGGAAACTTTCGGGAACGGAAACTTTCGAAAACAATCTATTCGCTTATTATTATCCCGATATCGATGGAAGAAATTTTGCGCAAGTATATAAAGAAAGTTAAAACAAAGAGGGCACGCTATTATATTTGCAATATTACATTCCTTCCTATAACAACTCAACAGCGACTCTTGATAACCAGGTGCGCCTGGTTTGACATGAAATACCATTTACTGACACTCGAGACAGTATCGCGACGACAACCCCGCATGTACACACGTGCCACCAGAGTCAATTAGTATCATATGGTGTGCAGATATCACACATTTATGTTTTCACATGAGGTATTTTTCTCTAGCTGCTTCTGATTTTTTTCCTAAAACATTTCTATCGAACAAATAAAAAATGCAATGTTTTATATCTGTACTCATCCAGTATATATCGAGCAAGATGATATTTATTTTTAGATATATTTACTGACGAGCATATAATATGTGCACTCATACAATGAGGAACTGATTTAGCAAGAAATCGGTGCAATAGAGTTTTTTTTATAATTTATATTTTTTATTTAAAACTTCATAAGGTATTCGTGTACAACTATTAGCGTGAAAAGAAAAAGCAAAAGCATCGTGTTCCAGAAAAATGATGCACACATATCTCGTGATTTATAAGTTTAGATGAATTGACTTCATGTTCCGATGATTTAGTGACGTTATAAACGAGCACGTATACGATATAATGTCAAAGTTATTGTTCACAACATAGTCATTATTTAGCCGTATACATTTTATTTATATTATGTTTCCGTATTAATTATATTATAATGCAATTAATTAATTTATTCAAAAATACAGTTTATCTTTAAATTAAACAATTATTTTGTATTAAATAAATGATAACTGTATGAATAAATACATAATTTAGAAAATTAATTGTCCGACTCTAGTAACTATTATATTTCTATTAAATTCTGTTATTTATCTAAATTTTAGATATGTGTCGTGTGATATTGAATATGCAATATTGTGACGTATAGTTTACACTATATGCCATATTCCCTATAGTGATAGAAACAAATGGAGGTAAATCCGCGAGCTTTCCCAGACGGGCAGTATACTGAGGATTTGCAATTATTTTCCTATGCTTAGGTTAAGCAAGGCCTTTATTTTACTCTGCCCCATTGGCATTGTTCGGCAAATAATCGGCATTTCCAATAATTCGTGTAGCACGACTTATCGTAAAATTACACGAATTTCTGCTTTCTACGAATGATTGAATAAGCGTGTGCTGTGTTTTCAAAGGCAGCAATTAGCATTCAGTGCGGATCAATATCAAGCGCAATGTAGTGTATTTCTTTTCTATGGTATTTAATATTCAAAACAAATAATTATATTTTCGATATAATTTTCGATATAATAAAATGTGAATCAGAACGTATTTACAAATAAATATGAATATTTTCTTATTATTCTTCTATATATTAAATATTTTGTTATATTTCATGTAACAATATGAATATTATGACAAGAATTATAAAATATTCAAAGTATTTTTTCTATTAGTTCTACTTTTTAGCAACATTTTTTCTTTCTTGTGTGAGGTAAAATATGGAGCAAGTTGTTTGGGAAACATCGTTCGATATACTATAGTTCCTCGAAAGAACATCCGTAGCAGCGGTTCGTGTAAAAGCGGAGGAATCGAGCGTCGAGAGTTTACTACCGTGCGAAGTTATTTTCACACTGCACTTCTTGCATACAAAGTTCATTGTCCATTAATCCATTGTAGCATCAACTAAAAAGAAAAATCTGATGAAAAAGATTGATGGATTATTTTGAAATTATGTGCATCGATATTAAAAATAATGAAAGTTGCTATCCCCGAATGTATATTGTACCCTTTTATTGCATATACGTAAATTGTGGTAAAATAATATCATTTAACATAAAACATGCTGGCAGAAAATATGATAATAATATGAAAACACATTTATAATAAATATAAATCCGCCACTCGATATTTTGCATAATTATTGAAATCAATAAAACATTGCTGTAATGATGTATAATAAATAAGAAATATATTAAAAAATGGTCGACTTACATGCGCATGCAGGGTTGATATGTATTTTACCAGCGTTCTCGATGATAAAAATGCAAAATTTGATTAAACTTGTTTATTTATTTGTTTATCATTTTATGAAACGAACGAATTATTCTGTCACAAATTATTTAATTATTACATATATATAGCTCGGCAAGCGAAATTTTTAATATAACCGCGTACAATATAATCAAAATGTGTTACGGATGAAGCAAGATGAGATTTCAAAAATAAAGCATTACGTATATATATATGTAAACTCTATTTCAAGTTATTGTTCACAACATAGTCATTATTTAGCCGTATACATTTTATTTATATTATGTTTCCGTATTAATTATATTATAATGCAATTAATTAATTTATTCAAAAATACAGTTTATCTTTAAATTAAACAATTATTTTGTATTAAATAAATGATAACTGTATGAATAAATACATAATTTAGAAAATTAATTGTCCGACTCTAGTAACTATTATATTTCTATTAAATTCTGTTATTTATCTAAATTTTAGATATGTGTCGTGTGATATTGAATATGCAATATTGTGACGTATAGTTTACACTATATGCCATATTCCCTATAGTGATAGAAACAAATGGAGGTAAATCCGCGAGCTTTCCCAGACGGGCAGTATACTGAGGATTTGCAATTATTTTCCTATGCTTAGGTTAAGCAAGGCCTTTATTTTACTCTGCCCCATTGGCATTGTTCGGCAAATAATCGGCATTTCCAATAATTCGTGTAGCACGACTTATCGTAAAATTACACGAATTTCTGCTTTCTACGAATGATTGAATAAGCGTGTGCTGTGTTTTCAAAGGCAGCAATTAGCATTCAGTGCGGATCAATATCAAGCGCAATGTAGTGTATTTCTTTTCTATGGTATTTAATATTCAAAACAAATAATTATATTTTCGATATAATTTTCGATATAATAAAATGTGAATCAGAACGTATTTACAAATAAATATGAATATTTTCTTATTATTCTTCTATATATTAAATATTTTGTTATATTTCATGTAACAATATGAATATTATGACAAGAATTATAAAATATTCAAAGTATTTTTTCTATTAGTTCTACTTTTTAGCAACATTTTTTCTTTCTTGTGTGAGGTAAAATATGGAGCAAGTTGTTTGGGAAACATCGTTCGATATACTATAGTTCCTCGAAAGAACATCCGTAGCAGCGGTTCGTGTAAAAGCGGAGGAATCGAGCGTCGAGAGTTTACTACCGTGCGAAGTTATTTTCACACTGCACTTCTTGCATACAAAGTTCATTGTCCATTAATCCATTGTAGCATCAACTAAAAAGAAAAATCTGATGAAAAAGATTGATGGATTATTTTGAAATTATGTGCATCGATATTAAAAATAATGAAAGTTGCTATCCCCGAATGTATATTGTACCCTTTTATTGCATATACGTAAATTGTGGTAAAATAATATCATTTAACATAAAACATGCTGGCAGAAAATATGATAATAATATGAAAACACATTTATAATAAATATAAATCCGCCACTCGATATTTTGCATAATTATTGAAATCAATAAAACATTGCTGTAATGATGTATAATAAATAAGAAATATATTAAAAAATGGTCGACTTACATGCGCATGCAGGGTTGATATGTATTTTACCAGCGTTCTCGATGATAAAAATGCAAAATTTGATTAAACTTGTTTATTTATTTGTTTATCATTTTATGAAACGAACGAATTATTCTGTCACAAATTATTTAATTATTACATATATATAGCTCGGCAAGCGAAATTTTTAATATAACCGCGTACAATATAATCAAAATGTGTTACGGATGAAGCAAGATGAGATTTCAAAAATAAAGCATTACGTATATATATATGTAAACTCTATTTCTTTTTTTAATTTTTGTAAGTACAGTACAGAGGAAGATATGGCGCGAATAATAACGGAAAGCTCTTTTTATTCCGAATGCCCCTATTGTCCACAGTAGCAATGTCGTTGCAATCCTAGTTTATACTCCTCGCGGATACTTCTTTTGCGAGATTGACGAAAGTCTATACAATATTGCAGGTATTATTCGACACCTGAAAGCCAATTGCACACTATTCTGTACCACCGACGTTTTCTTCGTCTTATTCTATCTGTCGTTTTACGCGACGTATAAATAAAAATCGATCCAGATGTCAGAGGAATAATAATTTTTCAGAACAAATAGTGAGAGCGAAGAACTATCTAGTATACTTTTTTTCTATATCAAAAATAAAATCACAACCCGCGATTTTATTTATCATTGTGGAGATTATTAGATAGTATTAGATTTTTTCTTTTGTTAAAATATTTTTTTAAGTTTTAAATACTATATTTTAAATGCTATATTTTAATTTTAAATATTTATGTAGTTAATATCCACTTATTTTGCTGTTTTGTAAAGCTACATTAACGCAAATTTATTACAAATTCTACAAATGTTTCATATTTTATGTATATACAAAGTTTTTTTTAAATTTTATTTACGACATTATTTATCCATTTCCTCATGATGGTTATTAAATATATTTATAAATGTTTTTGTGCCATTATTTTACATTTATCATTATTTTATCTTTTGTCTTGAAATATAAAATTCGTTGAATGTCGCGTTGTAAGCACGTAAAATCACTTGAAAATTGTGTATGTAACTGAGATGTACGGTATTTTATATGTGTAAAGTAAAAATGCAGCAATACAATTATGTTACAAACATAAATTTGTTTTGTGTTGCTTTTCTGTACACAAAGCTTGCTTTAAAAGAATAATATTTTCCAGAAGCAAAAGTAAAACTTTTTTACAACACATAAGATATGAGAAAATTTATATGGGTAAAATTTCATCCTCTACACGTTCTCCTTACACAACATTACTAAATTAAAGAGGGATATATTCGAAATCAATGTGATAATTGTATCATAAAGGAATACGTCTATATATAGAAGCATTAAAAGACCTATATTTATATTAAATTCTTCGATAGATATCATGATAAATTTTTATCGACCGATTGTCGTATCTTTTATTTTCCGCAAGGTATAATAGCCCGAGATATTGTGGTTAATAAAGTTTCTTCTCTTACCTTTTTTTTCTCTTATTGCTTTTCACACATGGTTGAACAGAGAGCGAGTAATTTCTAAAGCGTATATATATATATATATCCACTCGCTATTAAAAGAAAAGGGTAGAAAACTGTTTCGCACAAAAATGATCTTGCGCAGCGTGAATGTAGACGCGAAGAAAGGAAATAGACCGCTAGTATAAAGAAAGGATTTTGTTGCGTCGTAATTATTTCTCGAATAAACGTGCTAACGCTATTGTAAATGAATTCAAGAAAGGGAAAGAAAGAAAGTTATTACACAAGTTACGCGGACGATCATCATTCACTGTTGCTCAGAGCGTTTAAATTGTCGGATTATTGAATGTCAAAAATTTCACACAAATTCGAAATTTTATATTCCTTCTATTATTATTATGTAAATTATTATATTTTTAATAGACTTTGTCTATTATCCCGTCAAACATTTATAGCGAATAATAAAGTCAAACGAACAACTTATACGCTCTCATAAAAAGAAAATTTCCACCGAGACGCCGTAAAAACTGGAGGATCGACATTTTAATGCATGTATGTATAAGGAGAAGTACAGGATTACGGCGCACAGAAATGACTCGTTTTATTTTACGCTTTGATCAAAATTTGATTGAGCCTTGCGGTAAAGTGATTCACTATTCTCCGGTTTCGCTAACACGTTGCTTAAACGAGCATTTTGCCGTCGTAAAACTTTCAGGGAGAAGCTGAAATCTTATATCTGAATATAAATTACGCAGCGTTTCCTTTAATTAGCATCTATGAAGTTGATATTTGACGCGAGTATACTTGTTCATCGCGCGTTTTCAGAGATCCGACAAATTTCCTCGAAAATGCGCGCAACCGTGTTGCGTGTTTGTTAATAAGTTAATTAAATCATAAACATTATTTCGCAGACCTTTTTTGACTCTCTCTCTCTCTCTCTTTCTCTTTCTCTTTCTTTCTCTCGCTTTTTCTCTTTTTTTTTGTGGTGGCACGTTTACCTTAGGGTTGAGGTCGCTGCCCTGTTGCATAAGGGTGCCGATTGTAAACCAAAAGCTGTTGGCCAGGCTGAATTCGTTGACAGTTCTCAGTAGTGGAATGTCGTCACTATCCGGATCCAAGGCGCTCACGTGACCACCCTGATGACAGTGTAATCATGATCCCCGCCAAGTGGTATAGATTCAAGAGTAAAGAGATTATTTTGTTTAACTTATGTGTGTACAGCTGTTTATTACATTTCGTATTATTCTATAGAATCACGTAAACGTTCAATTACGATGAATGAAAAATTGAAAATGCATTATTTTTTATTTTATATTGTTAATTGGCCATTCTTTATTCATCAGATAATTATATCTGTTATTTATTTGACATGTAATTTATCTATTGTAATATGTTAATGCGAGAATAAGTAACGAAATTGCACGTGAAAATTATAGAGCCATTAAGATAATGGCTTTTAAATTTAAAATATACCGGAAAATATTATAGCTGTATTTCATCACGTCAGCTATTGAAGAATTTATTCAAAGATCTGATCATACAATCGGGATTGTTTCGTACCACTCGGCGGGTGCCTACCTGCAAAGGACAATTGCAGCTTGGGCAGGGCGACGGCTCCACCCATTCGTAGGGTGAGAATCTTGCTACTATCCATATCGTCAGGGAAACCATCACGTAAGCGCCAAGCAGGGACAACCAGATCTCCACAGCGAGGGGATTCATAAACGAGAAGAGGCGCGATGGCGTGCGTTTGGTCACCTGAAGCAATGACATTTGTTTCGACGTTAACACGTGGAGAATTGGCCTGATTGACCTGATTTGAAGATAGGGTTACGATGAAACATCTCGTGTTCCCTGCTGAAAAATAATTCGGAAGCGCGAATCGTTTATAACTCTCTCGCCGCTTTCTTCCGCAATATCCAGTCTCGCGAATGGCCCAAAAAACGATTCTTTATTTCGATGGAATTATAGGAGCCTATTATTCTCCGGTGTGTCGGACGAAACACAATGGTGCACTCCAAACGCAATCGCGGTACGTGGTGCTTTATTTTTTAATGAGAGATCGCTAACGTGAGAGAGGTAATCGAGATTGAATTTTAAAACGCAACAATCCATTGTAGAGATAATGCGGATAATAACGGACTTTAAGTGATATAATTTGAAATAAAGTATTTTATAAAAATCCAATAATTGATGCGTTTATAATCTATTCATAAGAAAGATGACTTTTCCGCAATGATCGATGCAAATTATACAAATAATTCATTAACGAGTTTCTAGTTCTGAAAAAAATAGCATAATATTTTTTATAAAAAAATTATTATTGCGAAATAATATATTTATACTAAAAATAAATTGTAATATTATATTATTGATCAGTGTCTGATCATCTTTCTCACAGCTCTAATTCTCTGTAATATTGCAAATACATGTTCCACAGTAGAAGCAGATTTAAACGTATCGACGAGCGCCTTGTAAATAGCACATACATATGCTGTTTACAATAGCACATATATGTGCTATTTGCGCTCCGGTAAGATGATGGATTTATGTACGCGCTGCCTCGTGAATAAGATTCGTATAACGCCCGTTATGCTCGAACGCGTGAAAGGAACGAACGAGCGTAATGTCGGATGAGGCAAGTCTCGACGGTGCAGTCTCTCGGTTTACGCGCGACGGTAAAAAGTAGTACGTAGTCCAATGGCGGAGCACCTCGTTGAGTGTACCTTAGGGTTGAGCCCGCTGCCCTGTCTTAGGAAGGTGCCGGTGATGAACCAGAAACTGTTGCTGACGCTAAACTGGTTCTCGACCACGTCGCTCTCGGCCAGACACGGATGCGGATTGTTCCACTCGTACGGGCTGAAGCGCGCCATCACGAACAGGGTGAAGCTCACGAGCATGTAGGCGGCGAGCACGTAGAGCCAGATCTCGATCGCGAGCGGATTCATGAAGGAGAAGAGCCGCGTCGGCTGACTGGACGGCACCTAAATTATGTCACGCTACGATTTTAATTAAAACGGATCCCGTCTCGTGGCGCGACGCAGCGGGACACGACGCGGCACGAAACAATCAACTTTAGCAGTGCGATGATTCAATAATTCTCTTTACGAGTGTTCGACGACGCGACAAGATAGAGAATTCAGATATTACGAGACTACGAGATGCGGATTATTATTATTTGACGAATTAGTTTTTTTCTCATGTTTAATTATACAGATACACCTTGCATCTATATTTCGACAATTGTGAAACAATTAAAACACTTGTTTATGTTTTACATTATTCAATCCGCTCTGTGTTGTGTAGTATGCGATAATGGCTTGCTCATATGGACATCGCTTTCATAAACTATAAATGTATAAACTGAAATGTATAATCAGGAAATGAACATTGGAGGTAAACATCTGTACTTTGATAAATGGATGATACAAAAATTATATTGCATATAGATATAATCGTAAAAGAAATATAACGAATAAGGTATTAAAACTCACCTTAAATAAGATTCCAATTCCGAGATTCATAAACGGCTTTGTGAAGTCTATTACGCTTTCCCTGGCATAATTAATCGTCATGGAGGCAACCGCTAGATCCGCTCTCTGAAAAAAGGTGTAGTACCCAGGGAAGTTAAAGAAATTTAATTTTCTTGGCGAAATTGAAACCCGTATAAAAATACGAACGCTTATAACATAAAAAGAAGCGGTAAAAATTAATATTGAACAGAGTATTGCTTTCGCTAAAAAGAAAATGTAAGTTGTTTATAGAATTCTCTCTCCTAAAGAAACAAATGAGATGAAAAAGCAGATCTTGACTTCATTAAATAATGAAGATAATCAAGACACTTTGTGGCATATAATGCGCTAAGTAAATGCATTTTATAACTCGTATTGAAACGTGAACGAAAGCTTCACAAAATTACTGATACATTCTCGTTCCGTATTCGCGCGGGAGAGTTTACCTTGCGAGATAGTGGATGCATTCTTTATAAACGGATGAGCGTCACGGGTTATGAAGCACTGTTCGCGTCATCCTCCGTTTTGAAATATCCGCCTACGGTTTCGTAGGTTTCCAGGTTAAGGCGTCATCTCTTTTCACAAGGAGCAGATTGCTTTGCATGTTTTATAAACCGCTGATCTTCGGTATTCAGCGAATACGCCGAAAAGAGACGAGCCGCGAATTTTGCAAAGTGCATGCTTTTTTAGCCGTTTCATTTTTTGTGTTCCGAATTAATGTCAGTTGCGCATGCTTTTATATATCGCATATATGAGTATGTGTGTGTATACATATGAACACTTTTACAAAAAACTCTACGCTTAGATAATCAACTGTTATATAAATATCAATCAACAGAGAGTGTTATTCCCACGACATATATTATTCTTTTATATTAGCTTTTGCAAAGATTAAAAATATATTAAATTGCTAATTTGTTGACTATATGACGTTATATACTTACAATCACCATACAATTATGAGATATTACTGTGTGTGTGTAAATATTGAAAGATTTTTGACTGCGAAATATGTCAAAATATATTTTTATTACTGTTGTATGTACAATGTCGTGGATAATAAAATTTTGCATTTGTAAAACATTGTAATTCAATAGAAAAGACGAGTGGTTTATATATCACAAACAATATAATCGATGATGAGCTTTCAATGGTCAAGAGTTTGTAATATTTCTATAAATGTATACGCAATATGATATATCGATATCATCAGTTTGACAAAAAATGCCTGAATTTTTTATCGAGCGTGGATGGGAACTCTATCACGAATAGAGAGACACGTGTCAGAGCAATTCAAACATATATGCGTCAATCACATATGCGACATATGTGTGTGATATAATCACACATAAAACGTACAAAAAAAGAATATGGTTCTAGAAGTAGTGAAACATTTGGATCATCACCTACATCCATTCGTTCTGCGTCAATGATTAAAATGTTATTGCAGATATCAATTTTTCAACTGACCATTAATGGAGTCTCTTTTTAATTCAATATTGCATTGCACGTCAATATACTAATGCGTGAAGCGTCAAAGAAAGTCTCTCGTCATTTTATTTTCAATATTACAAAGCCCTATATCTCTCTCTTTCCGCATTCCATTTTGTATAAGTGAGTTTTTACATAGCAATATCGAACTGTGTGCGATTTTATCGCGAGTACAATCTGGTTTTTGCACGTATATGTCCGTTGTTTGGCCTGTATATCGCGCTCCTGCGTTTTCATCGACGATTCGACGATTGATACCAGAAATCCAATAAGAACCTATTCCCTCTTCAGAAGTTCCCTTTTCCCGGCGCATTAACGTTTCCGGCGCTGTGACGTTTTCCATTTTTCGTTGGAGATGCGCGTACGTATCTTCTCTCTTTGCTAGTAACGACCGCGCGGAATACGATCGCGAGAAAACATAATGCGAATAGAAAACTTCTCTCCGTTAACGGAAAGGCAACATTTACCTTCCTCCGGATACAATCGCGAAAAAGTTAGAGCTATAATAAAAAGGAAAAGGAATTTTCGATGGTGAAAGAATATCGAGATTTTTTGTTCCAAATTTTCTTCAATTTTGATTATTCTGTTTGGTCGCTTATGTTTGTACAATTAAAAATATTGCTTTGAATTGATATTTTAGTTGCAATATTGCATCATTAACATTTCGCCTCATTATCTCAATAGAATATTTTGCCGAGCAACACGAGAGATCTCAAACTTTGAATATGTGTGTGTGAATTCGATTATGTAAAATACTTTTGTTGACTTTTGAATATTCTCTTAAATCTCCAATAATTAAAAATGAAATGTACAACTGCTGAAATTTTTATCCATTGTTAATTTTATCATAAATATCGTCCGGTATGTGTTCGATTTAATAACTGTAATTTTTGCAATGATTGCAACCGTGATTTCAACTTGTAGTAGAAATTATGCGAACATCGCGTGCGCATCTACTCGATCATGCAGACAATAATGGATCGGCGACGCAAATTAAATCCGAAAGACGCTCGGATGCGCATACATCAAACTTTGATTTTAATAACTGCACGGTTTTACAATTCAAATAACGGTAGGAGGATAGGTAACATCTGTGGTTTGATCTATGAATCGAAATATCAGATACCCACGTTCTATCATGGGAGAAACAGTTAATCTAGGTAATTCTTGTATCCGACTACAGACGTAATGAAATTCCTAGCGGAATGGATTTATTGCGAAATGCCCGTGAACGCTCGCGGAAATTTACTTTGCTTCACACCAGTAAAATCGATCCTTTGGGTCGCATTTTCTCACCCTCTCCCTTCTCGATATGTTTCTCCTAATATACTATGCCGTTGTAATTCCCCCGTAGTACAACAGTATTAATTCCTTGCGGTACAAATTAATTTCGACAATAAAACCGATGTTATAAATATGCTGCCTTTATTTTCTCATTTTTCTGTATTGACTAACATAACCGCATCGATTTCTGTCATATAGAATATTTTATAAAAATTTGAAAAATGCTATTTAGCTACTTGTTAACTTTTTTCATTATTATTATTATTTTATTATTGACTGTTTTCAGTGTTTGAAAAAATGTGAAAAATTGCAATAAGCTGTTCTATCGAGTTACCTCGATATAATAGTGTAATTAGTCGCGTATATTTTGATTAATTTTTATCTCATAACGCATTCGTCGAATCTTTTCGATTTTTATAACGTCGTTATAGCAGATGAAAATTCTGTCCCAATTCGGCGTATAAACTCACCTCTCGGCTTATTTTATTTCATCTCTCGCGATATTGAATTATCTCGAATTGTCGCGGAGAAGGAAACAGAATTTACGTATACCGTCTTACCTTCTCCATGAGCTCGCGCACGATACCATTCCACTCTTTCGTCTCGGGATCGTAGACCCCGTACATGTGATCCGGCACCAATTTGATCGCGTATTGGAAGCCGACCTGACCGGCAATACACTTGAGTAGATCGATACAGAAGCCCTCGAACCTCGCGTTACCAGTCAAATTCTTGTCTTCTTTTACCATGACGTAGGGTTTTTCCTGCGGAAGATTGGATCGTATTGATAGATCGTAGAACCGTGTTCATTGTGACAGAGGCGGTGCAGGGGCAATCTTTAAAAGCCCTTATTTCCGCGCGAGAAAACCATATCAAAGGTGCGGAAAAAGCCGCCGTTCAAATGTGAATATATGGCATTTTGATCTTGTCCCTCAAACATTTCTTTTTTCCGATGCCAACCATGAATTTTTCATTTTTCTGAGAATACACGATAAAAGGTTCCCTTCAATAACTAACGTCCTTGCTTGATATGATAGTCCGAGATTCCACGATATTTTCTTAAATGTCTTAATATATTTAAATCGCCCTTAAATTCTTTGATTCTTAAAAAAAATAATAAAATAATATCAAATAGATAATAATAATTAAAATTTTTAGTACCTATTATTTAATGTATTGCGATTATTTTTTGTGAATATTTAATATAAAAACATCCAAAAAGTCATCGAAATAATTTAATGTTTTTACGCTTTACGAATCATTTTGAAATTGCTCAAGCTGTTGCTATCTGGCTTAAATGTAAATGTTTCTCTGTGTGGCATAACAAATTTACCCCAGCCCGTTTAGAGCAGCTTTCATATCACCGTGTAATCAATGTTCGTGCAGTATCCTGCCTAATGATTAATTTGAACGCATACGAGGGTCACAAACGCGGCTAATTTGGGTACAAGGTGTCATTACCTCTCTCGTCATCACTACGAGCGTAATGTTGGTCGCTGTGGTCTCGTAAAAGGCGTCCATATCCGTAACATTAATACCGGATCCGGGTTTCCATTCGCCGACTTTAACGAGCTCCTCCTTCTTCAGCTTCAAAAGGTCCAGTTTGAAATTGGTTCTCTTTCCTTCATTGAATTCGATATGTCCGGTTAATCCATGTAAGCCTGCCTGCAACAGAAACACTCGCATAAGCCTAAATTGTTACTCTTTTATGCGTGCGATGCCATATATGTGAATAATAAATAAAGATAAAATAGCAGTATCTCTTGTTTCGAATATCATATATCTCGCACATTATAAATTTTTTAATTATTGATACACTATATGAGTAAATTTAAACTTTCCTAGATAAAGAGCATAGCATAATTAACTTTGCTCTTTCATGAAAATGCATGTAGCTTAGCTGTATAATTTTTTTCAAAGTTTTATATCTCTACTATTTAAATGTAGGTAGGATGTGAATGTGTTGAAAATTACATTTTTATGTAAATAGTGGTCTTTTATGATAACAATATCTCGAAGTTATGAAACAAAACGTCGCCCAATATTATCCTGTTTAAGCCGATTCTGGAATGAAACGCAAAGATCGAAAAAAGAAAAATTAATAAAATTATCATATGGTTTTTCGCAACATTGCACTCATACTTGTTTAATGACGAATGCGGTCGGATTCGTCGTCCGTTAAATCACGTGCGTCTGATGCCCGTTAAATTTATTTTTCCTCCGTGTCTAGTAACTCACGGATACGCATACACGCGCACACGATTCATTGCTGACGGCCTACATTTCCGACCTGCATGCAACCGGCGAAATTTTTCGCATTAATTACCGTTTGCGGTCTACCGGCGGTCTCCGCACAGTTTATTTGATTTACATCTCTTTTTTAGAGTATATCCGTCGTTGAGGTTGGTGGAATATTCCATCCGAAATGAAGCTCCTTTCTCTAAACTCGAATATTTAATCTGTATCAGGACTCGAATAGGATAAATTCCGTGTAAGTACTCTCTTGCGTAAATATTCTTCAAACGAAATTATTTTGATTGTTTAACTATTTTGTTACCAAAAGAGTTTATCACGCACTAATTAATGATCAACATTAACAACATTCCCCGTGTGTTTTGTGATTTTATGCAACGAAATGTTCGCTTGTATTTTATCGTTGAATAACGCGCGGTGGATTCTTTAAATACTATGGCCGGGCTGATATATGTATGGTTGTATCACTTTAAGTACGCCTCGTATTTTACCTCCACTCGTAATCTGGATTCGTTCGAGGATGATAATGGTACGGAATGTGAGAACGCGAGTGGGTTTACTACACAAGATTTGTATGACAATTGATATTATATCTGCATTGAGAATTTGAATCAATTCGGCCGGATTTTTGCGTGGTTATTCCGTTCACATATTGCTTAATCCATTGCAATGAAAATAGAGATCAATGTGAAGAGAAATATTTCAATTGTCGCTTGCACGTTTTTATATTTTTCTGACATAATGTTCATAGAAATAAAAGATTATTATTAAAAATAATATTTGAAAAAGAGTGCACGCACACGCTTTTTTATACATAAATATAAAAAATTATTATTACAAATAATATTTTTTATTTATGTTTTTACATGTCTCTAATCATCTAAAACATACTAGTAGCGATTCGAAAAAATTGGTTCAGCTTTGAAAAGTTATTACATTGCTCGAGATTATATTTTAGTGGTAACAAAAAATGCGTTGCGGATCGAGCTATGAATTTTTACGAATTTAGATAGATTGGCGTACCTGTTAACACGATTTAGCGGAGACCAGCGCATAGAAGTGCGACGTTTTTCGATCGTTCGTGCTACATGCAGATGAGTTATTTCGATAACGTATATTTACAAAGCTCTACGGCTCTATGGTTTTATGAAGCGTGTATCAAATTATCTCACATAGCAATCGTCTTTGATAAATCCAGACAACTGATGAGAATTTTAGCAATGATTTTAGCGAATCCAAATTTTTTTCAGTTTATCGGGGACGTTATTGCGATCGCGTCAATCACGTGTATCGATCAATCTCCACCGCGATATCTCGTCAGTGTCGATGTCGACGACCGTCAGTTCTCGCGCTAGTCAAAAATATGCCAATGCTCGTGAAACAAATGGCAGTAAAGCGCACCGGAAGTGACCGGTCGGTGGTGCATGATATCGCATGTATCTACGATAGTCGACGTACTCTCACCTGACATATACGCACGTTAATTGCGTCTATGTGTGGCTCGGTACATAACGCGTGTATAACGTCGCTACATACGCGCGCATTTTACGCAACAAAATACGCAACTCGGGATTTTAGCAGAAACATGCTGCTACAGGGATTTAGTTTCAAAAAGAAGAAAAAAGAAGATTAAAACCACACAAACTGTGTGGCGTTTATAAACGATTAATGCAAAGTATTAATTTGTTCACTGCAAAATTCTTTTCAGTTTTGTTACCAGTCATAAAATATTAGTGAGATAATTTTCGAAATTGATATAATAGAGAAAAAGAAAAAAGAGGAAATTAATATCCTCTTCAATGAGAGAAAAATATATTTATATATGATTTTATATATGTATAAATGTGCTATTTGTAAATTTACTTATTTAAAGCTTGATACCGAAAGCATATTGCAAGACATCGTGGCTCGTAGCTACCGCTATTACGTTGAGGTAAGGAAAGCTATTCAGTTTTATGTTCATGTAATATTAAACACACAGGCTGTGAATTTAATTTTTGATTATAACCAAAATTGTCGTTTCATTAGCAGAATATTGAATCGATAAATTATTCAGATCAGTAGAATAAATGCCTTTTTCCCAAAAGAACATAATAAACTTTACATAATTTATAAGTCTTAATTAATTTGATATTTTCATAAATATTTCAAATCGAAAATTGCGCAAAATTAAATAAATTTCTCCCGAAACTTGATTACTTCTCTGTAATGCACAATTGTTTTACTTTCGTCTACAATTGCGCTCTGACTCTTACTTTAGGGTCCTTTGTTTGGCAGTGTAATTTTATATCGAAGAACCTTTTTCGTAATTTGTTCTAATTGCATGCATTAATAAATTTATTAATGCATAAATTTAATTTGTTTCTAACAATTTGTCCTTTCACGTCAAGAATGTTTATAGGAGAGCCACGTATAATTGTATTACATAAATTATGCCCGACTAACATAGTCGTAAATTTATTTCGTATTTATGTTGTGCATTTTGTTATAAATTAAATACTGAATTATTTATGCATTACCGTGCTTATGTTTGTTACGTACATAAATTACGATAGATCGCGGTTTCTCATGATGTTGAGGCCGTGTATGTCATAATAAGTAAATTTCACCGTTTTAAGCGACATTATCGATAAACGCGTTGATAACGCGTGTTTCAATGCTTGATAATCGAGACGTGCATTTCCGGCGCGTTGGTCGCCCGTTCGATTATGTAAATTTTTCTATTCGTCGGCTGTGCATGCAACAATGTTCGGGAAAGTATTGGGAATTGCGAAAAATATTGGGAGACTTTATTATTTCGCGTGAACGCGATTGTGATTTGCATGAACTATTTTCAACATTTATTTCGTTATCATTGACAATTCTCACGATTTCATTTCACAATCTGTTGATTTGCGTTGTGGCTTGTGCGCAAATAGATGATTAAATATTTTGAAATTATTATCTCTCTTGTGATTACAATAATTTATAATTCAAAATTGTCATATAATATCATTTATAATAAATAAATAATTTTATATATATATGCATCTTATTTATTATTTACAAAACAGTTGTAAGCAATTTATGAATTATTTCAGATTTATTAAAAATTGATATTCTCTATTTTTATTTATTATCACCATGTAATCGCGAGTATTGTACTTACTATTTGTATTTATGCTTAAGAGATCTTCAAAAGTGAGTATCTTTATCCACTGTCAGATAATCCAACGGATAATTCAATTATCGCGCATCCTCGAGATTCAAATCTGCTTCTCTTTGCTTCTCGTGCTGGTCGCGCTGCAAAAAGCTTTATGATCCGGGATACAATTTTTTTTTACGCGGGTTCCCATTCCTTTTCTTTCTCTCTTTTCAAGCCGGGAACTAGTCCCATGCTAGAAGGCAAAACAAGCGTCGGAAGGAAAAACTGCAACGCAGTCGCCATTAATCCTAATTGTAACAGCCCTTTAATCTCCGCGCGCTCCGAGTACCCGTACATGATTCTGAAAAGTTATTTACGAGCCGCGATGTGTCCCGCGTGCAGATCTCTTTGCTCCTGTATTACGCGCTTATTTCCTTTTTTTCATTTTACATCCGGTAAACAACTTGTTGTTTCATCATTGTGCTCCGTCCGTATGAGATCGCCAGGTGCTACTGCTTTACTTAAGCGCGTCGCTTTCGATGCGAGGATACCTTGGATAGATATTAAGATTAAATGTCTCGCGGCTGACAGAGGACGATCATTTATATAATTCACGAATGCGTCAAAACTCTGCGTCACATCGCGTCACAAACAACATCGTTCGCGTTTGCTGGCTGCATCGATCGATAGTTGCCCGCGCGCATTTTCTCCGATTTTCCGAATAAGTACCAGCGGTTCGCGAAAGAACATTGGAGAAATTTTCATCGGTAAATTTCTAATATTTTCCCTTTTGCAAAGCAAATTTGAAATGACGTTTTATTGACACACATTATATCCATTCGTCTCTGGCAATTTTCGTATTTGTGAATAAAATAGATATACGTTCAAATTTTGCAAGAAGAAGAAGAAAGCAAAATGAATGTAGAAAGTGCAACATTAAAAGCAGAATATTTATAAAACTAGCATTTTTTAGCTACAATAGCAGAACTTATTGATAGCAGAAATCTGAATATTAGCTAATATTTATTTCAACACACAAGAATGATCGATATTAGCTTATAAATATCAAATCTTTGAATAATGGCATCAATAAATTTCAATGATTTATATTTGCGCAATTTTTTTCTCTCTCTTTCTCTCTGTGCTATTCTTTTATAATGTCTCGTTTTATTGAAAAAATGTGTATTCATCTGGATAAAACAACTTGTCAGATTTATCATGCGAGAGATTAAGCGGTGTGGAAAAATGAAAGATATATGTATTTCATCCTTGCTCTGCTTTTCGAAGTATAACAGTATTTTTAACATGATGGAAAAAGAACATGATCAATATGTGTGGAAAGTAAAAGATGGAGACTATAGAGAAATCTTTTTTTTCTGGCTCGTGAAAGATAACATTTTTTGAAGTAAAGATTTTAAATGCTCAGTTCTCGTGTGGTACGATGTTAAATATCAAATCGTTTAGGACTCACTGCTCGAAAAAATTGCTGCATGTGCGCCGGATCCGTGTCGATGATCAGCTTGAAGATCTCTTTGTGTCTGACCTCCCGCAGGACTTGCCGGTAGGATCTAGGACCCGCTTGACGAATATACATTTCAGTTCTCACGGACGGCGGAGATTTCACGAGATCTTGCAGTTTGAACAGTCCTGTAAAACACAGAAGAGAGGAGGAGAGATATTTCTTCACAGCAACTCTGCGCGATGCTGGACTTCATCATTGCGCGCTTTCATCCGTATTTTTCTTTAATCATTCTCGCTATAAAAGAGATATTTAACAAAATATGATTAATGTATTTTTCGGATCTCTCGCCGAATATTTATCTTAAACTATGAATTCACGATTCATCAGGTTTTTTAATTTTTTTCAAACATTTTCACGGATTTTATATTTTTTATCTATTTGTTCAGAGAAATTATTTAAATATCATTTTTTAAACAATGTGAAAAAAGTTTTACTGGTTTTAGATTAAAATGAAATGTTTTAATAATTTTAAAAAAATATTTTTTCGTGATTTCAGTTAATTAAATTGTAATTATAATGAAAATGATAGATTATTATTCTCAAACGTATTGCATGAATATATTGTTAGCAAAAAAAAATTGAGTAAAATACAAGTTAATAGAGTGATTATTCGAAAAAATGCGCTTTGTGCGAGGTACAATAAATAATCGACTCTCCGGATAGAAAAAGCTACTATCGTATATCGTAATTTGATCAATATTTATTATGTAAAAATGAGTTATTTTCATGTATGGGTTATTTGAACGTAAAAGTAACAAATATATTTCCATACAATAGAAACGAGCTCGTTGTTTATCGGCTGGAGAAAGGCATGAGAGAGAGAAGATTGTTAAAATTTGATTTGTAGAGAGAATTCGATATAGAGCATAACATAAGTTTTCTAGTTTTGTTCATGGAAGACTTTTCATAACTAATTTTATAGCATTAACAAAATTTGCGAAGAAATGTCGCTAAAAAGACATCACGACTTTGACAATTCACTTCCAGTCGATTGTTCCTGGACTACTTCCTAAGTTGCACTGTCGACTCGAGTTTTCCGCCGCGTGCACAGAATTCGTTACATGCGGTTACATTTGCTCCGTTCATTCCTCTGACTTCATCAACATTGGTTAACTTTAATCGTAGTCTGACTGATTTCTTGTCTCTCTTTCTCTCTCTCTCTCTCTTTTCTCGTTTTAATTTCGGAAAGTGATGCAGAATTATTCAATTATAAATGTGACAGTTGAATAATTTAAAGCTCCATCGACATAAAATATGTACTTTTATCGATAAAATAGGGTTTTATGAAAGATATATAGAAACGAACAAGAGAGAGAAATGTTACCATCTAAATGCATTCGACAGATTACGTTTCGGAAATTTCCAAGCGGATCTTCTCTCTTGATTTCACTAAGAGACACAAATCTTTGACAAAGTTGCAAGATTCTTGGCGTAACTTCTACTTTTCCGTATTTCTGAAAGAGACTTCTCGGACATACTCAGATAGGTGCTGCCAACTTTGGGCTCGCTAATTACTCCCCCGTAACTATCGTGACGAATAGAGCGGCGGCAAAAAGAGGATCGATAAACAGCTAAAGGACGATGAAAGGGAGGCAGAAGATAAATCTCCCGGCGCGTTAACGAGCGTAGCCTGCACGAGAAGGCTGGCACTCTAGAAAACGTAAAATTAAAAAATGGTAAACTTCACTTGCGGAACAAATCGAGTAATTACGGTTACTTGCATACATATTTTTTCTGCGCGCTTGTTTACAAGATACTTTAGAATCCAAAATCTTAATTTCGACGATGCTTTTTTTGATCAAATTGATATTGACATCTTCGGTGCAGGAATAGCGACAAATATTACGAGCGATTGGAAACAAAAGAAAATTTCATAAAATTATTAAGACATAGTTGAATGACGAAAATGTTATTATTTATCTTTTTGCGCATTCAGATCTAATTTATAAAATTTATCTAATTAATAAAATTAAAATAATTATGTAAACGGAATCTGGAATAAAGGAGCGTAAAAGGATAATAAAAGATTATAATGAAGGTCATAGGGTACCTTGTACATTTAGAGTACCATGTCCAAGAAATGTGTGAAATGGAAAGTAGGAAGATTGCACAGAGTAGTCCAGTTTACAAAATTAACTCTGCAGATAACAGTAACTACATGCAGTGCTATATTTGAGAATTTATGGCATTGCACAACGATACGTAGAGTACATAAAGCGAGAAAAAATTCTGGAAAAATGAAACGGTTCGTTCTACCTATCATTAACGATAACGTTTATACGCGAGATTTCTTGACCTCGTTGCGGTCATGAACGCAATGCCAATGTAGATAGTGTTCGCGAATTTTCAAATATCATTGGAATAACAGTTTTGCCACATATGTTCTTATTACTGAAAAATTCAAAATTTTTGAATTGATATTTTTTAAATCATTTACAGAAAAAATAGCGAATCCGAGAATCTCTTATTTACAATCTAACAAATTTATAAAACTTAGGAACACATAATTTATTTAAAAAGTTTCATAATATTATTCAAACATTTAATAGATTTATAAGACGAAAAGCAATATTTCTCTTATTTTACACTAGGTCGAATAATATAATAATAATTTAATTCAGCACATTTCAAACTTTTACTAGAAAGCAGCAAACGTGTGAGTTTAATTATATTATAAGTGAATATCGCAGCTGTGCTCACTTGAACGATAAAGTGCTAAAATATATTTTTGAACACTCTATATAAAATATGTTTCTCCCGAAAATTTAATCAATAAAAATTAAAAGTGATTTTAATAGTTTCATGTATCGCGTTATCGTACACAGCAAGTATTTACGCCTCGAATTTACGCACATTGGCATGAGCCGTCGCTTTCAACCATCTATTATTATTTTACGGCGCCGAAAAACGAAACTTTTTACAGCCGATAAAGTTTTAACGAACTGCGAAACACTAGACAGTTATGAATAACTAAATGACAGTGGGCGCGAGGCAGGGCAACTCTCCAAATCTACAAAGTATTCAAGAGGTTCATTCAAAATCTCGCAGCTGGTCTCGTCATATTTGAGATTATATTTTAATTAATTACATCAAGCAATATTTAAACTTTATTCATTAACACATACAAATTGATAATTATTACTTAATGTATTCGAAAATTATGCTTTATAAAGTAATAAAATAATAAAGTAATTATAATTTATTTTAGGTAGAAATAATATATTCGGAATGAAGAGAAAAAATGTATTAAAAATATGTACCTCGTATTAAAAGTAATGCAATTTTTATGTAAATGCGTAGTCATATTTTTACAAGCTAAATAGATTTTATATATTTTACATATTTTACAATGGCTGATTAATCATTTGATATTTTGAGCTGGTTGGTCGTTTCTTATTCACGCGCATTTGCTTCTCTGTGTATGTCTCACACATATATCTCCCTCGCCTTTAGAGTATTGAAGTGTACCTGGATAGGCAAAAGCCGCAAAAACCGCCTATACTTGGCGGGGTGCATTAATCTTGCCGCTTTTACAACGGGTTTTAGCTTTCAACGCTCAGCTCGGGTTGCTTAAGCGGTGTAAGATTTGCGGTTTTCAAGCGTAAACTGTAGAGCTTGTAAAAATTATAATGCAATTAATATTCCATATATATCAATAAAATATTCTACAAAAAATTTGGTATTTTAAACGGTTTATCAGTTAATTTATTAAATTTATTCATAAACTTATATTATTTATTAATATTACACGTTACATATCCTGTAGTTTCAGCAATTATAATAATTGAATAAAGTATATTATAGAAATTTCGCGGCACACCTTTTGAGAACTATTGATGTACATTATGTAAAAAAGAATTGCTGAATAGTAAAAAATTTATATGTATATCAAGGATGTAGTTAATTCTTTTTCATTACAAAAACAATTTTATAACGATAGCGATGATAAAATAACACCGTCAGCAGTTTCTTGTTTAATTCAAATGCTAGAATAGTAATACGGGGATTTAAAATATTAAGATGGTCGTTATCCATCAAAAATTAATCAAGAAAAACATGTGATATTGATAATTTACCGGATTGTTTATTTATTTAATTATGGTTTACGCCATTATGGTTTACAGATGACGCGGACATGATTAGCCTGTTAATAGAGTACAGTCATGCCGAAAACTGTCAATGTCTCGTCACGCGGAATTTAAACGCATACGCGGAACGTAGAGCCGCGATAGTTAACTCGGGCACGGCACACATACATATGTATCTCTCTTTTTGCGGTGCGTTATTTATTTCGGATTTGAAATGAAAGAAATGCCAATAACCGATAGATACGCCGGGTGCAGTGACGCTTCGAAAAGTATCACGAGACGAGAAAGAGCGTTGATATTTACGAACGAGTGGATGCTACGTGAAAGGAATGGAGCAAGCAGACTTATCGGGAACTTTTATAATTTCTGTGGCAAACTTCTCTTGCGTTCTTTTTCCCTGTCTTTTTCTTTTCCTTCACTCGAAGCTACAGACATTTTTCTACTGCCTGATAACGTTCCGCGATTTAAACGGGATGCAGCGCGTTCGGATAATAAAAAGATTGTGTCCCGCGAGACAAAACGACGCTCGAGAATGCGAAGACTTTTATATACCACATATTACATCTTCGTCGTATAGCGGTGATCAACGACGATATACTGTTAAAAAGCCGTGTGATGTGCAAGTTTCGAAAAATTGTCACGATTCACCGTCTCCTCCTCCTCACCCTTCCATCTCCTTCTTTCTTTTCTTCGCGACATCTTCGATTATTCCGGCGAGCCGTCCCGAACTTTTCTACGCGCTCTCAATTTTCTTCGCCGTCTTTGCGAAAAAAGAGAAAATTTATAATGCCGCGTGGTAGGGAACGTTGCAGGAATAATTCGCAGGAAGTTGTCATTGTGTAAACTTATCAGTTTCTGCGAGATTTACAACGCACGTCGTTACATTTCCGTTTTTCGATGTTTGTAATTTCTTTTTTGCGTTAAAACTCTCAACGCTGACTTTAATGTATCGCGTTTGTGAGACGCTTTCTCTGCGAGAGATGAGAGCTGTATTAAAAAAGAAAACTTGATAATGTCAATTAATAAAATTGGCATGATATTAGTTGGTTTAATTACTCTGCGTGACGAAATTGAATGCTCTGGTAATAATTGCTAATGAAAATGCTTTCGAAGTTTATTGCATTTACTCGCCAAAATGTCACTGTATGGTGTGTACTCTGCACTCTAGTTAATGCTGTTTGCATGAAACATATTATTACGTGGGCAGATATTGCGGTATAAGCATTTGGCAATAATTTCTCAATATAGTAAATATTGTCATTATTAATTATAAAGTCCCCCTCTCCCTCTCCCACACATTGGAAAATTTTTTAAGTTTCTATGATGGTTTCTGATATAATTGAAATCTTATTATCTTTAGTCAGAAGATTTTAATATTGAGTTCTATATGATTATAAAATTTATTTCTCTTTTTGATGAAAAGAATAATCCGACATTACACGTTAGAAAAGATCATTTACATTGGTGTAACTTAATACAATTGCGCTATACTTTTTGTTGAATTAATCAATGTGAAAATAGGAAGAAAAGGAAAAAAATCAGTGTTTTGATTTTTCTATATTTTAACTTAGCTAATAATCTCTATCCATTTTTCCCAGAATATAAAAAGTAGTTTTAAATTGCTCTTTCTACCCTTCCCCTGATCTTTTCTTTTTTTTACAATCAAAACACATTTTCTTAATCTTGCGCAAAAAATCCTTACAATTAAAAAAATCTCGTGTCTTCTATAATAACAGCACAATTTAACAAATTCCGCAAATAAAAAAGAAAACTATTTATAGACAATAAATTCCGAAAAATCCGAGGTTTCCTCGGTTAACAGGCAAAGATTTGAGTACGTATGTTCAAGCATTGTTTAATTCGTCATCGTGATAAGTAATAGGGAGGTCCAATTTTAGTTGCACCCGGATAATAAAGCTGCTGGGATCTATTCATGAACGACACGTACGAGTGAGTTTACGTACGTGTCTCTCATATGACGATGCGGTCGTGCATTCGAGATGGTCGCCGCGCGTCGGAAAACGCGACCACTACGGCCAAAGGAGGAGAAGCCACCCCTTTCCCCTCCAACCCCGAGAGGAGAGTGGTTCTCGACGCGCTGTAGCTATTTGCTAAATACGTTGTTCAATTATTCATGTGTCAACGTTGCTTTCCTTCCGTTGCTATCCATACAGCTGCGGCTTATCGTCGAACGACTACCAATCTGTGCGAAGCAACGAAGAGCGCGCTTGACCCGCTCGCCAAGATGATCGCGATTTTTTACTGCCTTTCCCGGCGCTCTCAGAATTTTAACTTCCTGTTAGATGTGAAGTGTCTTAAATATTTTTGTCATTTAGATACGCATAAACAAAACAAGAGACTTCTAATTTCGTAAATTTAAAAAATTGTAAAAAAAATACTGGAAGAGATGAGTTAATAATGTCTACATTAAATTATATTCTCAAGTTCTTACGTTCAATCGATCAATCTAAAAGTGATAGGAGAAGGAATATTTAATAAAGTTCTTGAAAGAGAATTATGGTATTAAAATATCTTATAGTATCGTTTTTTTATACCGTTAATTATAAATGTACAGGACAGTAAAATTTTATAAAAGAATATTAATAAATCAAACTAATAAATTACAATTATAATGAATATTAAACTATGTATAACTATTCTTTATCTATTCGTAGATGTGGTAATTGTTTATCTTTTTATTCTACTTTAATATTCTTGTGATATATTGTTAATGAAAGTTGTCATAGGATTAAATGATTTATTCTACCATTTTCTCTATATTTTGAGAGAGATAAATATCTCTCCCTTGCATAAGACAACATTGTGTTTGAAATTTGTAAAATATATTTTTGTTTAATTATTCTAAGCAGTCGTGCAATAAATTGACATACTAGTTGATTTAACTGTGGTAAAACTCTGATAAGATGAAATTTTTCTTTGATAGTGTAAATTTTGATATTACGATTATACCAATATTTTTAATAAAAAAACCTTAATGTTTTTTTACAGACAATTTTTTATTAATAGCATTTTTAGATTGAAATTGAATATTGAATTCGATATTATATATTCGAAATTTATCTTCTGAAAAACATGGAAACTATATACATATTGACCAAAGTTTATTCATGGATTATTCGCTGTATTCACGGATTAATAATACTAAAAATATATATTTTAAAAAATTAGATCTGGTGAATATTGTAATTTTATAAAGTCCATACTACATCGTTGAAATTTTCCACACAGCATTTAAAAAAAATTTTTTTTTATATAAAATGAAGATATTAAGAGCCGATTCGGTAAAAGAGGGATATTTGATCATCGAGAGAAACATGATAAAAATTATTTTTTTTTATGTTTTGAGAAATATAAAAAAAATTTATAAATGTATTTAAAGTAGGACTCTCACGCACACACATAATTTTATTTCAATACAGCTTCTTTAAAGAGGAGAAGCTGACACGCTATTCTGAAATATATATAATCGAGAGCTCGCATTATTGCCAATTTGTCAAACTATTTCAACAGCTTACTTAAAGATTCACAGAACGTACGTACGGCATTAATGTAGTTGTAGAGTGATAAACCGTCGTCCCAAGGTTCCTCTTTCTCGCAGGACAGATTTGCTGGCCTTAAATCGTGACTGCGGTCCAGAGCTGCCAAACCATGCGCGAAAACTTGCACGCTATCATACACCAAAGCTGGTTCTGCCTGAAACATACGTTTCCTTTTGACAAGAGTTCGTGCTTTATGCATTTGCGTGCAAGGCTTTAGCTTCAAAAGAACTATTATATTGACAAGGTTTTCGTTACTGCAACGTGCAAATATAGGTCGAGTTTGGTTACGATTAAATTTTAACGAGACTCATTTTCAATTCTGTTCGCAGTTTAACGGGTCTCTCGAATATAATTATTATTCATACTTGTTACGGGCTGTGCGGCAATAATCTCTTGTTTCAATTTACTGTCAAAAATGTTTCTTAAAATGCAATATTAAACGGATTTATCATATTGAGAACATTGATTTTACTTACAAAGATTCAATTACACAAATTTATTTTTTGAAATTTAAAATTGTAAATTGATGCATTTTTAATTTAATAATCCTTGAAGTTATAATCCTCTCTCCCCTTTCTCTCTCTCTCTCTCTCTCTCTCTCTCTTTCTCTCATTAAATATTTTTTCAAATTTAAAATTCAGCACATTTCAAACTTTTACTAGAAAGCAGCAAACGTGTGAGTTTAATTATATTATAAGTGAATATCGCAGCTGTGCTCACTTGAACGATAAAGTGCTAAAATATATTTTTGAACACTCTATATAAAATATGTTTCTCCCGAAAATTTAATCAATAAAAATTAAAAGTGATTTTAATAGTTTCATGTATCGCGTTATCGTACACAGCAAGTATTTACGCCTCGAATTTACGCACATTGGCATGAGCCGTCGCTTTCAACCATCTATTATTATTTTACGGCGCCGAAAAACGAAACTTTTTACAGCCGATAAAGTTTTAACGAACTGCGAAACACTAGACAGTTATGAATAACTAAATGACAGTGGGCGCGAGGCAGGGCAACTCTCCAAATCTACAAAGTATTCAAGAGGTTCATTCAAAATCTCGCAGCTGGTCTCGTCATATTTGAGACTCGTTGATTAAATACATTAAATTATCAGAAAAATTTTACAAATTATTACAAACATTGAAATTGCAAATCGTATTGTTTTCCGATTGACGTTGAGATTGTTCAATATTTAACGGCGTTTAAGTGACTGACTATCTTCGCACGTTGAAGTTTTAACGAGCACGTGAAAGGCGGATTTACCCGACTGATGAATATTTAGGCGGTACTGAGATGCGGGAATGTTACATTTCCCTGGACCGAACTATAGTCGAGGCACTTTCGAAGCGCACGCTTTCACGGACGAGGAATTTTGAAACATCTTACCACATCTTCTCCCTTCGTCGTGGATTTATGGCGAGCTATAGACATCCGGGAACCAGCGCAAAAAAAGACGCGCTCTTTCCGTTTCCTCTCGTTTTATCGCTAACAGCAACGTCCTACTTCGTGCTTTTGTTATACGCCACGTTACATCGTCCAATCAAGAGCGGCAATTTAGGGAAGATAAGACTTACTCGGAGACTTTTTATTTTGTTCCTCGCTGAAACTGCGAAGGGAAGGATTCGTTTCGAAAATGTATATGATGGATCCGCGCGCGTGATATCCATTATTAATCCTTAAAATATTAAGAATATGATACAAAATAGTTACATTAACGCTCGTTATAAATGATGGAATTGAATTATGAAAGTTCTTTTTATTTTTAAAAAATCGCGAAACTTCCTCGTATTTTCTCGAAAATCAAATCAATAAATTTCCACTTTGAATTTCTAGATTTACGACGACTATATAACCGTTGAATTTTTCTATTCAGCAGACAAATCAATGCAAATACGTCTTTCCGGATATAAACGGGAGTGAGCAAATTCATACATTTTCTCGGGATGGCGATTGTTAAAATATACTAATGCGATTCGGAAAGAATGGAAATGGCCGATGACTGCGGCGTAGATATACGTCAACGGCGCGTCGCGGAATTTCGATGTGCCGTCGCGTATGGTGCCAGACCGTCGCGGGATGGAAATGGGCGCCAAGAGGATACCGCGGGGGTTAAGTTGGCGGCAAAACGCGGGCGAGGGAGCAATCTCGTTTCAGAACGGGCGAGATCGCGAGTTTACATCATCGTACGTAAACGCGGTTACTTCCGCGTGCGTATGACAGGCCGACATTCCGGCGGCGGGGGCGGCGTCCACTTCCGGCGCTTGATTCCAACGTTCTATTTGCATAGGGACGCATCATTCCGACTCTGCGGAAGAAAACAAAAAAAAAAGACTACAAACGTTTGCGTAATAAACGCGTCGACGGCGCACTACCACAGCGCTAACGAGAAAAAAAGAGGATCGCCTTTTCCGCAAATATCTATGGAGTAGTATCCGCATTGTATTGCCGTTTTGGACACGAAGCGCCGGTTGCAAAACGAGTTGGTTTTCGTGGTCGGGAAATCTTTTAGCTCGGCCACTGATGTTGTTGGTATTGTCCGCGTGTTCGTGCTTGCGGTCCGTCGCATCTGCCACCCATGTTTCGCAAAACCATTCTTATCGCGCTCTCGGAGAGAAACACAATAGATTAATTCTACGAATAAATACATCCGAATTATCCGAAATTGATCATGCCGGCGCGATGTACAAGCAGTACATTTTTTTATTATTAAATATAAAATAAAATGCGCAGATTTAAAAAAGAGGAAATTGAATCGAATACTCTTGTGTTAAGATCGTCGAACATATGTATATGTATATCCGAGTTTGCTCGAATTCAAAGAATTTCCGCAGCATTTTCTTCTCGAATGTACACGTTATTGTTCTCCACTTACCGTAATCCTCTTCATAGATAATGGCCACTCTGGTCCAGTTTAGGAAGGACATGAGATCCTTGAACGCTTTGTTAAGATGATCTGGAGCGGGATATAGGTTAATGCTGAACTCCTTAAAAGTGGGCTCGAAATCGACCCGCGCTTCGAGATGAGGAACGTCCAATGCCTCACATATGCTTTGTATGTGAGCGCCTAAAAGTGGGTCGGACGGCCCGAAGATACCTTGTACCGACCTGGATAGTTGCTTGCAGGCTGCAATCACAAAATTATAAACGCTCTAAAAAATTTAATATTTATTGTTAAAAGGATATTATTGTATATATTTAAAAGCCCAACAAATATATAATATTTTTTACGTTAAACTGATTTATGTTTGGATTTTACTAAAAAAGCTTAAATTAAAAATTTAAACGAATAGATATTTTGATTGTTTTTTCGCCAAATTCTTATCAGATATTAGATATCTTAATATAGACTATTATAAAGTACGTATTTTTAGTCAATTTAGTACATCTTTTTTAAAGATATTAGACTATTAAGAATAAATATATATATAGACGAATATGGCAATGATACCATGAGATAGGCGACGAAGATGTCAATAGGGGCACAGGGGCGTGCTAAAACGGAGATTGGAGAACGACTGCCTCTGACACGTCGATTTCATATTTCTAGATGAAGCGCACTTAGAAGTTCTGTATCAGCGAAAGCTTTTGGTAAATCGATGACAGACATTTTTGCGAGGGATCCTCGCCACTATTCTTCCATATAATGTTGCATAATATTATTGCTGTTTTAAAAAAAATACATTAAAAACAGTTTTTAAACTATCGATTTTCTTTATTGGATGTTTCGTCGCGAACAAATCCGATAGAAAATAATGGCATAAAAATTTTAAGAGTTTGTATAAATATACATTAGAAATTATGAATAATGCAAAATATAAAAAACATATGATAAAATTAAAATAAATCTTCTTCAATAAGCATTAATTTTTCGGACAATTTAATGTATAATATAATGAGAATATATCTTTTTTCTTGTTGTTTATAGATTATACGTTTTATTAGTTTTCTACTTTTATTGTTAGATTCAATAATTAAATTTATCTATAAACTATAATTTGAATCAGAGTTTAATCAACTCAGAAAGTGCAATTTGCAAGCAGTTTGCTGTAATCGAGTAACATGCCAGTACAGAAAACCAATACCAACGTGCGATTATTTATGTTGTACATTTATCCATTATGCAAATTAAAATATGACCAACATTTTGAAAATGAAGCAAATATAAACGCAAATTGCAGAAACATGATCAAATAATATGTTTGGAATACAATACAATGATCAACGTGCAACGAATAATTTTTATCGAAGAAAGATCAACGTATGATTTATGAGCTTTCGATCTATGCATTCCACGGTGAATAGACGGTGAATTGATACATTCCTTTAACGTCTCAACTTTCATATCCATTATACTTAAAAAGGGCGAGCTCTCCGAATAGCGTCGTTATTCTCCCTTACATCGCAGATTATTCCTGGCACGCTTATAAGGGCGAGCCGAATTGAAGAATAGATAAGTTGGATTTTGGTAGTACTATTTCTACGTCCAAGAAATCGCTGGTTGGGTTTTATCGCGATATCCTGAATTATTCACAAGCATTTCTTTGTTTTCTGCTGCGGATCATGGCCCGCGGATTCACTGAATTCTACGCACGTTACGGCATATCACAAACAACGTACATCTTTACGGAATTAACTTTCTCATTTTATCGCATTTTTTGTTTACAAAACGATTGTTAATTTAATTAATAAATGATTTTATTAAAACACTTACACAGAAATAGATGATTTACAAAAAATAAATTATTTATAATTATTATATACATAATATTATACATATATATATTTTTTGTTTGTTTTTTTAATAAAATAATTTATTATTAAACCAAAAATATTTTACCATTTCTCATAATAGCTGATCGTTAATATAAGGAGATGATAACGAAGTGAAACAATTATCGTGGCAATAGCGCTGAATTACATAGATAATGTAGATTAAAGTAGATTCGCGTTTTTCTTTATGCCCAGAGAAATAAATCCAATAATTTTAATGGAACAGGAATTTTTTTGAAAGATTGCCAAAGGAAGAAAAAAAAAGAAACAAGAAGAAGGAAAGCGATTAAATGTACTTGATCTTTCTCTCTCTGTCTTTCATTATTTATATAAAATTTTTACTGTACTATATTATTATTATTTAGAGATAGGTTGTGATAATTCTCTCTCTCTCTCTCTCTCTCTCTCTCTTTCTCTCATTAAATATTTTTTCAAATTTAAAATTTGATAGGGTTTTAAAATAATTTTAGAAAGAGTAAGAAAGAGAAATTTAGAGGATTTTAGAGAAGAGAGAAGATTCACACGTATAAATTTAAATATATTGATTTTTTTATCTTAATATTTTGGAGAATTCTGATAAATTAAAAGAGCCCATTTAGCGTTTTTAGCAGATGGCGACCATCTTCGAAGTCTTTGCGAGAAAGCTGTGCTTGGTGTGCTCAATTGATCCAAGTTAATGACGTTGCGGCGCTAGCCGCGGGCGAAACTCACTTAATTACTGAAGGGCTGACAAAGCTCGAACTGGACACACAGACTCTGCTGACCGGTTCGGTCCCTCTCCGACTTTTCAGCCCTTCTGCTTTTAGTCTCTCGTCTACATTTGCTCGTAGCTATTACATTGGAATTCAAAGCAATTCCATTTTGTAATCGTGTGAAATTCACAATATTACAGAATTTAAAAACATATAAAATATTGTGATAACAAACGATGTTATATATGTAACATTGACATATTGTATTCGTTATTTCGTATAATTTGTAACTAGTAGGAAATTTCTTGACCGATTTGTTTAAAATTTTCTTCATCAAAATGGGAATCGAAAGATATGGAATTTGGTATCACAAATTATTGATAAGTAAATATTATCTTGAAATTTATAAAAAGACGGAAAAGAAATTTTCTTTGATGAAAAAACTTTCTGAAATATTTTATACATATAAAGTTTACGTGAATGGCGTTATAACTTTTTTAATACGATTTTCTATCTGTTCTACTGCGCACACACGCTTGAAGGCAATCGTGTTCTTAGAATTAGACCTGTCGTCTGACGTTCAATATGGTCCGTAGAGCTCGCAGAGTGAATTTTATCTCTAAAATCTTAGTCTCTGCAGCGCTACATTTGTTATCAGGTAAAAGAGAAAAAGAATTTAATCTCTTTTGTTGCATTGAACATAACTTGAAATTTCCACCAACCTGAATGACTCCGGTTTTGTTCAAGATGGCATGACCAATAGCTGGCTGGAAACGTTCCATCTGCTTGAGTACGTCGGCAACCTTGGGTTCCTCGAGATCCACCAAGCGAAAGGCCGTCATATTCACGCTGTTATATTTGAAGTCTTCTAGATCGAACGTTTCTATATCCTGTAAAAAAACAAACAGAAAAAAGATTCGTTTATATCATTTCAGTTCCAGTTTGTATTCGCAATTTATCGAAGTTTTTGATATTTCAAAGTTTGACCTTTTTTGTGTTTTCTGAATAAACTGTCATCTCATAATAGCGGAATGTCAAAGTTTTCGACATATACATATATATTATATATATCGATTATATATATCGAAAATTATATATTCCCTATTAATATATTTTAAAATTTATATTTTAATGCGCCTTTAATAATATATTTTACAAAGATCATGGAAAATAAGTAAACTTATTTGATTTGGATCGTTTTTCTGGTAAACAGATAGAGCTCTGGATTTATTGAACACTTTCAAAAATGATAAGAAATTTGATTGCCTCGACCATAGCTAAGGATATTTAAGAAAATATAGCTGGGCTAAATCTCTTTTTCTCGTTCGTGACATAGTTGCAGGAAGGCGGCTGAATTGAAGGAATAATAAATGGTTTCAAAAATTGCGCGGTCGTTATCGTGATTGCAATCGTTATAGCGTAACCAATACTAGCCGCCTTTTTAGGTTCTCTGGCTGGAGAAGCTTGAGAGCGAATATGATTTATAATTATACGGTGATGCATCGCGCGCTCGCGACACAGATCGTTAAAGTAAATAACGCGGCATTTTTGCCGCGAGGTCGTTCACCGACAACCGCGCAGCTGCATAGCAAAGTTGACCATGAAATAAATAAAAACTCGCGCACATTCCTAAGCGATTTCTTCTTTTGCTGTCGCTTTTATACTGCTCTCTTAGGATCGTTTTAAATCCGCTGTCCACTCTCTCAAATCGCGACATAATTGCGCCGGAAGAAAGTTCCGTAACGTCCTTTGTGAAAATGATTTATTCAGAAATGCTTGAATGCATTTTTTAGGCGAACAATCTTTAATGGAAATTCGCATAAAAAAAGAGCAACACTTTTTTTTTTTTTAAGACATTGCATGTGTGCGGTGGCGAAGATTTTTTTTAATCAACATTAAAATGTAACAATATATACGGCTCCATTAAAAAAAATTTATTACGGAAGATTATTTTATTAAAACCAACTTATTTGCAAACTATAATAATAATATATCTTGGATCATTATTAGCGTTAAGTTGACTACGCGTTTATTAGAAATTTTTATTAAATAATTTGCTTAAAATTCTTATATTAATATAAGATATAATCTATTAATCAGTAATCGATCGCAAGATGAATTCTGTAAATAACTCTATTGCTTCGGGTTGTCATCTTGTAGCGCGTATGTATCATGTCTCCACTATTGTTGAGCTAATGGAATATAATACAGTCAATATTTGATAGATACTAAACATACGTACGCGATACGAATTTGCGTACTATAATTACGACAGCTTTTGGTCCCATGTATGTTAATCTTGATCACATAATGTAACAACATGTCGGAAATATCATATTGTTAATCCAAATTATCTACTCATTTTCTGAAATTACAGATGAATTAATAGAACTAAATCCGCCGGAAATCATTTCAAGGCGCGCTACAGCCCGAGGAGTTAATATCTACCGTCAATTAATCAGAACATATTTGTGCAGGAACGAGCTCATGCAGCGATTCGATTCCTGGCGAGTTTGTCGCCGCAAAATTCGAAGGGGAGATACGTCGCGTGCGCGCTCGTGTACGGTCACGTAGGTCACGCATGTACGGCACGCATACATATGTATGCACTGCGCAAGAACGCACGGTTGAACATGTCTCTATCCTTCAACCGTACATACGATTTGCAGTAGGTACAGCACGTTTGCGCGTCATAACTTCAGCTAGAGCCGCGGGGTTTTTACGCGCCGCTAATTTCACTTAAAACAGAAATTTCGAATTGGGATGGCAGATTGGAATTCCAGTCGCGCGACTGAAAAGGCGACGATACTATCAAAGAAGAGCGATATGCCGGACGCGTGGTAACGCGAGCGAACTTTCTGGACGCATATAAGAGGTATACTCTCGATATATGCGTCGCTCCGGGATGTCTAATTTCTACCACCGTTCGTTCTCTAAGACCCCAACGAGGGGTAATATACATAATAAGCCGTATATAGTGTACAAAGAGACGTGGGATTGCCAGGAATGCGAAGTATGTCGGTTATGAAGATGATGAATGGTATACTGAACACGTAGAGTAGTTTCGTCTTCAAGAACTCCCATTCGTTTGGAAGGGAGGCACCTTCTCTCATCTCTTAAATTTAAATGATATTACGCGTGCTTGGTTAATGTTGGATGAAACGAATCTTCGTCCACGTTTGTCACTATGGTCTATTCGCGTTTAATAGGCTGTTAGTGACCACATATAATACGCTTAATTAGAATGTGTTCCATTATATCCGATAAATACTACAAATTCTCGTTAGTATTTATAGTCAATTACAATACATTAATTAAATATTCAAATATTGATTGGATTGAGTTTTGAACCGAGAAATAGGTTTATCTATTGATCTAAATGGATTAAGGATTATATATGATATATATACAATCCTTAATCCATTTAGATCAATAGATAATATATATATATATTTTTTGTTTGTTTTTTTAATAAAATAATTTATTATTAAACCAAAAATATTTTACCATTTCTCATAATAGCTGATCGTTAATATAAGGAGATGATAACGAAGTGAAACAATTATCGTGGCAATAGCGCTGAATTACATAGATAATGTAGATTAAAGTAGATTCGCGTTTTTCTTTATGCCCAGAGAAATAAATCCAATAATTTTAATGGAACAGGAATTTTTTTGAAAGATTGCCAAAGGAAGAAAAAAAAGAAACAAGAAAGAAGGAAAGCGATTAAATGTACTTGATCTTTCTCTCTCTGTCTTTCATTATTTATATAAAATTTTTACTGTACTATATTATTATTATTTAGAGATAGGTTGTGATAATAATTATTTTTTTGCTGCTTCATTTTAATTTGTTTTATTGCCGTATAGTGACGCACGGATATATACCATTCGAAATAGATATCACAAATTTCGAAACGCGCGATTCACACGTATACAGAAGTTGGATCCGAGGCATTCTCTCTCATCTCGATAATAAAGGATATTATTGAGAGCTGCGCGCTCGCTTAGCTCTTGAGAAAACCGCTATTTCGCGCGGAAACGCTTGTTCTCACGGATACGTCTGATTAAATTGTCGGGATGGTTTGTTAAAAAGACGCCGACAAATACGTTGCCGAACGCGCTATTTCGTAGAATGCGCGGTAGTGAAATTTCCCGTCGCGCTGCTCTGTCGTTGATTAAATCGAATGCTTCGCTCGACGAGAGTAAATAAGAATCGTTGCCTCGTTACGATATCGCAGTTTTGTTTAACGAACCGGCGCTTATCCATTTTGTGATAATGAGCGTGGCAGTTTCCGCACAAAGAACCACGCCGGAGCTTCGTCATGACTTTTATGAGCTCGATATAATGCACGGCGCGATCATCCCCCACAATTTCGCGAATTATCGTAATTAAGGAGGCGATCTGTATGGCGGTCTTGAAAATGTCCTCCCTTTGTATTTTAATTGCTCCAGACGTCCCGTTAAATCAATAATCACTTTGAACGATTAACTTTATTTAAAGAGAGAATCATATTCTATCAATTATATTTATTATTTGAAATAAAGAATATAAACGTTTTTAATTAAGGAAAAGAGATTTGATCATTTGATTTTGATATTTTCACACGTAATTGTCAGAGCGAAAAAAGTGTATTTTATTCTGCATTATTTTAATAAATAATCTGATTTACAAAGATTTAGTTTATAAACTATATTCCTCGTAAATTCTTCTTGTTGACAAAGGATTTAATCTGATTCGATACAAGTTTGCAACGTGCGTTTGCGTAAGTTAGCTTTTCGGGGCACAAAAAACTAATTAATGCAAACGCCACAAAATTCCGCGGTTTCCCTGCGATCATCGTCGTAATACGGATGAAGGATCCGGTAAACATTCCATCTCGTTAGTTTCGTCATTAAAAGTTACGTAAGCAGCTTTGTGCGCTCGTATGCCCGCGAAACTTTTGCGTACGGGGGGATGTGGCAGTTTGAGTTACCAATGAATTAAACTGACTGATAATGGGTTGTAAATCTTTTTAAAAAGTCGTCGCAATGCCGTTAAGGGAGCGACCAAGAGAAAGGAACGGGATATTTGGGATGAGGTTGTTTATTAGGATTACGAGTGCAACGCGCGCGCGAGCGGAGCTTTTTTGCGTGAACGCTGAAAAATAAAATCCGGCAAAATAATCGTCATTTGGTTAGCTGCACGGCATTTCTAGTCCTCTAGAAAACGGAATCTTCCATTAAAGTGTTCCGCCTCGTTGACTCGGGGCTGCCGCTCCTTAAAGTTATCCAATCAATTTCCCTGGTTTAGGTCCCTTCCGATTTCTATCTTCCTTTGTTTTCCACTTTCGCGGTGACCCGAACGAAATTACACCTACGACGCAACTTGAAACGAAATTTGCGCGAGGTCTACAACGCGCATGAGAGTCGACAATATTTTTTTGGCATGAAGAAAAATTAATAAAAAATCCTTGCACTTCTTATCGCAAAAGCAACTTTCATTTCTCCTCACAACGCGAGAAGTTGAAACGAAATTTGTACATCCGATGCTAGAGGGAAGAAAATTTTTCTTGGCATAGCAAAAGTATGAACTTTTATTTTAAAATCTTTTGTTATTAGTTTTCGAAATATCATATTTTTAGTGATTTAAAATTAAAATTAATTTTTTTCAGTTTTGCTACCAATAATTTATTGGATTCTTACACACTGTCGTGCTTTATAAAATTAAATACTTCATCTTTGTGATTGATTTTTTCAAGTAAAATTCCATCAAAACTAAGCGAACATAAAAATTCACTTAAACTGAAACAAGAGGAGTAATAAAATATCTATGGTGGTATGTTACAATTATTCTTAATAAATTAAAGTATCTTATATAAATTCATGCTAGGAAGAAAAACAATGATCATCTTGCTTTCATCTATATTGCTTCATCGGATATTGTGCTGAGCCAGTAGTTGCCTTGACAATCGATTAACTCCCACGCGCTTTACTCGGCTGTCCAGTAATACGTCACAATACCTCGTAATCCTTACCAGATGCACTCAGAAATGCATAGAGGATTTTCTCGAGTCGAGTGTTTCGCAGCGAATTCAATTTCCTGCCGAGTCTGTTCCTTGCACCGACACAACAGACATTGGAGAAAATAAAGAATACGTATAAGTAACAATTTTCTCAGGGATAAATTTTACAGGACGTGTCTAAAAGCTTTTGTAAGATGCAGTTCTTTTATATTTAAAAGCTCTCTGGCTCGATATAAGACCGAAATATACGAAAACATCGTATTCATTTATTTCATCGGAAATTCTAATCTGCAGAAATTGCAATAGAGTTAAAAGCAAAAATAAAACAAACTAGTACGAACTAGAGAATTTCTGTATATGATTTTTCTGTACAAAGATATGTTTATTTTAATTATCAAAAAAATATCAAGGGTGTTTTAACCCTTTCATTCAGAAATCCCTAGGATACACAAATATCTCTAATGTCTTCTGCCTCAGCGGAATAAATATTTTAAAGTCTCAATCCATTTGAAAATTTCCGCACGAGAAAATCCAAATCGTGGACACATTAGAGTGAGGATAACGTAACGACTGCGAGCTGCGATTACTTTTAGGTAGAATGCATCGCGGCCTATTAGCCGGCGAGTCAGCCGAGTTCGCGCGCACACAACATTAAACTCGTGCAATGCTTGCGGGATGGGAAAATGTGTACAGGCATCTTCCCGTCCTCTCTTGTATGGGAGATTTATTGCGGGGTGAACGCCAAAGAAAAGTTGGAAAAGTTGCGCGGTTCGACATGGCTCAGCCCCGTTCGCGAAAGTGGAAGGAAGCTGAGCAATCTTTTCAGCCGCACCTCATGTCGTTTCAAACATGCCGTGGAGGAA